CTTTTTAATCACCTTTTCCTTTCTTCCTGTATTATGTTCTTGATGTCATCCCACAACACTTCTGGTCTTTTATCATTAGTGTCTAATGCATCTACGCTGTTCGTGAGATGATCTTCAAATTCAGGTGAGATATGTTCAAGGTCATATTTTGGCTCTCATAGACTTGTATTAATTTTCTTCACCTTTTTTAAAAATATGATTTTAAAAACAGAGCAATTGATACTCTGTTCCAGTGTTGGCCTGGCTGATGAGCTTGACTACATCTTTGGGAAGAGACAGTGGAAAAGCTCAGTCTGATTTCTGTGTATTCCATCTGGTGAGGGGTGAGGTCTGTGTACATAGTCACCTTGTTTTGTTTTTTCAGTAACTATTTGCAATGAATAAACTGTCATGTAAAATTCTATCATGGGATCTCCAGCATCATTTCTATCACCAAGGTCCAATTTTCCAACTACTGATCCTTCCTTTAGTTTCCAACCTTCTCATTCTAATCACCAGTAATTATCAATATATCTTAATTTCATGTTTGATTAATTTCAGACTGAGGAGGGTTGGTAGAATTCTTCAATTTCATCATCACAGGCTTTAGTGGTTGGTGTGAAAATTTGGTTAATAGTGGTATTAACTGGTCTTCCTTCTAGGCATATGGATATTATCCTATCACAGACAGCCTTGTACTTCATGACTGATCTTGATATATTTTTGAATGATGAATGTTATGTCATTCATCTTTATTTTGTCATTTCCAGCATAGTAAACCATTTGATTTTCTGATAAAAAATGGCTAATACCAGTCCGTTACAGCTCACTAATGTCTAGGATGATATCAATCTTTGTGTTCCATTTCATTTTTGACAACTTCTGATTTTCCTAGATTCATACTTTGTACATTCCATATTTTGATTATTAATGGATGTTTGTAGCTGTTTCTTCTCATTTTAAGTTGTGCCCCACCAGCAAATGAAGGTCCTTAAAGTTTTAATTCATTCGTATCATAATGGTCAATTTTACTTTGAAGAGATGGCTCTTCCCCAGGCGTAATTTGAGTGCCTTCAGACATGATGACCTCATCTTCTGGCACTGTATCCCTTGCTATTCATATGGTCTTCAGTGGTTAAACATTCAGAAGTACTCCACCTCCCCTTCTTCCTAGTCTTAGATTGGAAGCGCTGCTGAAATCTGTCTACCATGCATGTTTAAAATGCTGGTGAATTAGCTTCCAGCAAACAACAGTTTGACCAACTGACAGACAAGTTGTGGTCACAGGCAAGTATGAGCCATTTAAAAATAAACTCTTCGAGTAGTTACGATGAAATATACTGAGCTGCCTCCTGGAGCTAAGATAGAAAACACCCTTACTTCTGGGTGCCTGCAACGTAGTTTTACTTTCAGTAATTTAAAAAAATTCCTCATAACAGCCTCCAAAAGGGTTGTTGTTAAATGCTGTTGAGTCAGTTCTGATTCATAGTGAACCTCTATGGGGTTTCTGAGGAGTGGCTTGGGAGCTTGAATCGCCTTGTTGTCAAGTGCTTATCCTACAGTACCAAAAATAGTAGGGCAGTGTTTATATCTGTTTGGTTGAGTCAGGGGTATGGAAGCCAGCCAGCCTGCCCCAGAGTCATATGGCTAACAACCAGTGAAAATGTCCACCTAGCATGCTTTTTTTAAATTCACGGTCCAAACTGAACTATTTTGCTATTTTGCTTCTGCATGCTATTTTTCAACTCATTTTGGATATTCTCCGTAGCCTGACCTCTTTTTCCTAGTTAATGCTCTGATCCTTCACACTTGATCCCACTCTTCTGACCTTGACCTACCTCAACTACAAAGTCTGTCTGCCTCTTTGACTTGCTTACCTGCAAATTCTCCAGGGTAATTAATACTGTTGCCACCCATTTGATAATGGTTCATACTGACACTATGCAGGGTTTCCGAGGCTGTAAATCTTGAAAGATGAGCAGACAACCTTTTGTTTCTCCCCAGGGAGCCGGGTGGGTTTGAACCACCAACTTTGTGCAATGCTTAGCCACAGTGCCATGCCGAATCAGCTTTTTTGCAGTTATTGCTACTGTTACTATTGCTTGCAAGTAGCAACAAGTATTATTTCAATATGTATGGTGACTGTCAGACATTGAACTTTTCATGTTTTGTTTCATTCAATTTTTGAGCTTTAGAATATTCCTATGAAATAAATACCACTGTAATCCCTATTAAACAACATAATCCTCTATTATATAAAAAAACCTGAGTGAACCCAGGCAGTGCAGTTGAAAACATGGGCTTGCATTCTGGCTCTGCTATGTAGTTCCTGTGTAATTTTAGACTAGTTATCTAATATCTTTGTGTCTTTTTCTTCATCTGTAAAGAGTGTGGATACTAAATTCCTATGGTCTGCGGTTGCTCTGAAGGTTAAATAGGAAAGGGGCCTGCATGCAGTAGGATTTCCGAAACAGTTTCCTTTTTTACTTTTAAGGCTTTTACTGTTCCCTTTAAGGTGCCCTGGTAGTACAGTGGGTTAGGCACCGGGCTGCTAACAGCAAGGTTTGTCCAAACCACCAGCTACTCTATGGCGTTCTCCCATAAAGATTTACAGTTTGTAAAACTCTATGTAGGGTTCACATGAGTTGGAAAGGATTCAGTAGCAGTGGGTTTGGTTTTGCATTTGACATCTTCCACTTCCCGGGTTGCATCAGTAAGGACCAACATTCCTTCTCCTGGGTACTACTTATTAAGTTGATACTAACTTTTCCTTCTTAATGTAACATCAATTTACGGTTACAGCGACGTTAGATTAAAGGGCTGGTTGGGATTAACAGCTGCAGTGATGTTCAAGCATTCAGTTGGGGGTCTGAGTGGGTGACCTTGGGAGCTAATTGAGCTCACAGACATGGTCTGACAAAGAAACCCCTGTATTGGCTAAATACTGTATAAGAAATTTCCATTGGGCAATGGGGAAAATTGAATTATTTAACGTTTTCCATTTCAGTGAGTTAATCAAGATAATTGCTGTTTTCCTGGATCTTTGTCTTTTCTTTGTAATTAACAAGGTTCTTGTTTGGAGACAGGAATTTAACCAGTGAACTTTGTATAAATTGCTGTGACATTTTTTGGACAAATTATGTTTAAAAAAATCCATTACAGATCCTTTTGTTTTGGATTCTAGGTCTATGAGACACTGGTGTTTGATCAAGCTTAAGAAAAGTTTATGGTTCAAGGATTCAAGTTCATCTGGGACTAACAACCATTCCAAGGGCAACAGCAAGAAGAACATGGACTCTCCTATCAACAGACTAGCCTGCTACATTCCCACTGCATAGCAATGGGCAAGTCAGCTCTCTGACCTTAGATCCGCTTTCTGTAAAATGGATCTGACCCATTTTCCACAACTGTCATGAGGATGGAGTGCCTCATGCACGTCCTAGTCCTTGGTGAACTGCTGATATTCAACAAGGCTGATGCCTTCCCCATCTCCCACATACATCTCTAATGGTCAAATGTCCAAAATCTCAGTAGTTTGGTACATGGTGGTTGTTATGGTACTGTGGAGTCGGTTCTGGCTCATAGCAACCCAGCATAGGGTTTCCGAGGCTGTAAATCTTTACGGGAGCAGAACGCCTCATCTTTCTCCTGCGGAGCCACTGGTAGTCTCGAACTGCTGACCTTGAGGTTGGCAGCCCAACTCATAACCACTATGCTACCAGAGATCCTTGGTAAAGAACTCAAAAAGAAGTTTTAAATGATCTCAAAGAACAATACCTCAGAATCTCTATTTTATATTAAACCAAGTATGTAAAGTATAATAAGTTATGCATGTATGTAGCTACAGTTACATACACACACGTACACAGTCCTGCCCTGCATAACATCCATTTAGGAAATGTCTGACTGCGTATATACATCAGTGGTCCCAATCCCTGTAAAGCCTATGATTGTAAACATTCAAGGTACATGATTATTACTGTATTATGATGTTCCTAGTGTATCCCTAATGTTTTTATGCATAGAAAGGCACACTATATACCAAGAGAAACAATTAACTGACATTAGATAAAAATTCAATTTTAAAGACAGATTTAGGAATGGAACTCATTTGTAATCCAGGATTGCACACCATCCAAATCATACATCTTAATCACAGAATGTAGTGTGTGTGTGTATAAATAAACAAATTTGTTATTGAGTTGGTTCTGACTCATAGCAAATCTGTATAGGGTTGCTGAGGATCGGCAGGTGGGTTTGAACTGCCATCCTTCTGGTTAGCACATCAATGCCTACCGCACAGTACCACCAGGGCTGTTTTGACAACAAATGGTGACACAACAGTGCCACATGCCACAGTACAACACTACCAGTTAGATATAGGAACTAATAATCGGGGTTTGGCACTATAGGGTAAGCACTAGATTGCTAACCACAAGGTCAGTGGTTGAAACCCATCAGCTGCTCTTTGGAAACCCAATATAGGGTCATTATGAGTTGGAACTGGCATGACAGCACTTAACAACAAAAAAAGAGGTTTTAGGATCATTTTGGGTAGGAATGAAGGGCTCTGTGCCTTCATATTCCTCTTTTCTGGATGCAAACTTCATATGACACCATAATAGGTGATTGCTGATTCTTATGTTGCTAACACCTGCTAAAGACATAGCATTAATAAGTTCCATCTGAAATGTTTAAATGGAAAACTTTTTGTTGAAATTTGAATTTTCTACATAATCAAAGTTTGTCTCTTCATGCATATGAAACTGTTTCTTTTTCCACTGCTGTATTTCTGGACAGTGATTTTTCCTCCCTGTAATATGTTGAGACAAAAGAATCCATAAAAGAACCAGGATTCAAAGTTCGACTCCAAAGTTCCTGCCTTCTCTGCTACACTAGCTCCTTTCTAGGAAAAATCATCTGGAATACGAACATGTGGAACACAGTTCAATTGAACAATTCCTGAAATGTACTTAATAAAATAAAGGAAAATTGCCAAATAGCCTTGGCCTGATACTTACTCATAAAATGTGGTCCACCCATTTTCATTGCTTTTGGTTGCCAGAAGGCCAGAGTTGCCATGGTATGTCATCATTGCCAACTCGTGTCCTTGTGTGGTCACACTCTTCAATGCACTGTTGGTGCCCATGGTCACCCAGTATACTTGGCCATCAGGGACCACCAACCAGAGGGGCATCCCGGTAGAGTCTCGGCGCACATTGACCATGTTGCCATTGTTGTCCGTGATGAGTGTGACGTCACCATCCCCAGTGTAGGTGAAGTTGTACAGGTAGTCTCCAGTGGACAGGCTTTGGGTATACAGATGCTTGCCACTGGTGTCAAACAAGTAGAGCTCCTGGTCTATTGGTGAGGACAGCTCATACATGTTCTGGGTATTGAGGAAAGGCTTGTTCTTCCGGATAAAGCGAATCCGGATATTCCCAAGGTCAGCCACGTACAGTTCTCCATCAGCGCACACAGCCAAGGAAGATGGGGTATTCAGCTTTGCATCCTTGGCATAACCATCATCTCCAGAGAAGCAATCACAGTTGGCATCGTTTTTACAGTCACAGCCACTGGGGGCTCCAGCGACTAGCGAGATTTCTCCACTAGTGGTGACTTGCCTGATGCGGTTGATCTTTTTCTCATCAGTCTCAGCGATGTATACGACCCCAGTGTGTGAAACAGTTAACGCAGTGGCGGACTCCAAAGTTGCATGTATGGCCACCTTGCTCAGCAGGAAGTGGTCGATGCCAGGAACCTGGCAGTGCATGGGCCTCCCAGCCACAATGCGCACCTGGTGGTTTTCAGAGATTTGCAGGACCACATTGTTGTCAAGGACGTAGAGTGAGTTGTCCATCGGGTTGATGGCTAAGTCTGTGGGCCACTCCAGGCGAACCTGACAATGGAGACATGGACACTCAAATGACTGCCCAAGAGCCCACCCCACAACACTCCACACCCCAGCATGGTCCGTAACGGTGCCCAAAGTATCTTCACAGACATTCTTCCTTAATTCTCATAGTAGCCTGTCATCAACAATGGGTGATCAGCTCCCTGATCGGAGTGAAACCAGGCAATAGTGACCACTGAGACATTTTTTGGCCTCATTAAGACTGACAAAACATGAAGGAGATAAAGTAGGAAAGAGGATAGACTTTGGAGTCAGATTGAGTTCAAATCCTAGCTCTACCACTTATGGGTTGCTTTACTTCTCTGGGCCTCAGTATTCTTATCTGTAGAATAGAAATGATAGCAGAGTAGTGGACCTAACTTAATAAGTGCCCAAGCAATGCCAGCTAATTTTCAGAGGTAGGAAGGAAGGCAGATGGAGCATAGAGGCTCAAGCCAGGTGTTTTTCAAAGGTTTAAGAAAGACTCCTGGTGAGTTTTTGAGATGATAACTGAAAGATGATTTCTCAGTTCTTTGCGTTTACAGAGTAATACAAGACTAGGTGCCAATGCTACAAAGACCAAATAACCATGGTCTCTGTCAGACATAAGTTCAGACCCATGATTCTCAGACATGGCTACACATTCAGATTGCTTGTGGAGATTTTAGAAAATGTTGATGCTAAATCCCATCCCAGATAAATTAAATTCAGAACATGACTTTGAGGTTCAGGCATTAGCATATCCACCCCCCCAAAGCTTCATGAGTGATTCCAATTGGGGTAGAGAATCATTATGCTCTTTCATGTACGACAAGTGTAGCAGCGATGATATTATAAGGGAGAGCTGGGGACAAGTGAAGGGTGGTAAGCCTCACTCAAGACCAACTGCATCAGAATCTGCATCTTAATAAGACCACTCTGATGTTTGAGAGCTAGATAGTGGTTTCTAGCATCTCTGAGAAGTCCCTCTGGAACGGATTAATGAAGTTGGCAATGGGACCACTATCTGTACCACCTCTGAGTGATACTGGGAAATGATGTAAGTCACAGGTTAAGCCTTCAGGTGCCATGCAGCTGGAGGAGTCTGAGGCGAGGAGTGCCTTGCTCAGTGGCCGTGGAGGCTGGGTTGCTGGATCTATCATACTGATAGGTATGTCTCTACAGGATAAGCACTGGATTGCTAACTGTGAGACTGGCAGTTCAAACCCATCAGCGGCTCCTCAGAAACCATATGCAGTGTTGCTATGAGTCATAATCAACTAGATGGCACTGAGCAACAACAAAGGCACCTAATAACAAGGTGTGGCACTAAGGGAGGTCCTATGCCGATTGTGTCCCCTCATATGGCACGTGACTGCCTCCAGTTTACTGTTGTTATCCCATACCTAAAAACTCATCACCTTCGGGCTCCCGAGGCCACAGCAAATCTCTAACATTCTGCCAAATCTGAGGCTTACTTACTTAAGCAAATACCTTTCTTCAGATAAGAATTTCCTCTTCTAGGAGTTGACTCATGTACACCATTGACTACAAAGGTGTTTATCACAACCCTGTTTAAAAATGGTGAAAATTGGAACCTACTCAAGTACTCAACAACATTGACTTGAAGAAATATGTATGTGGAGACATTAAAAATGATGTTCTACATAGATACTGGATGACATGGAAAATATCTGCTATAAATTAAGTGAAAAGAGCAGGTTATAGAATTGTAAGTACAGTATGATCCCAACTGTGGAAAAATGCAGTAATTAGATTACAGATTGAGAGATTAGACAGCTTGCAAGATATACATCAAAAGGTTAAGTGCTAGGGCTAAAGGGGATTCTGACTTTCTTCTTTGTGATTTGTAAACTTTCAATATTTTTAACAATGTCCATGTGGTATTTTTCTAATGTAAAAAGAAACCCCAACAGAATATCTGTACATAAGATGTGGTTCTGCCCACTTGCCCCTCCAGCTCAGGGGCACTCTGATAGGGCAGCGTTCTCAAGTTCTTCCGGTCCTGCTTCCTAAAGCCTCTGGTTCCCTCATCCCCAGTCCAGGTTCTAGGGTCTCCACAAAACAGGGGATCCTGCAGGCACTCCAGAGCCTCTGACCAGGCCAGACCTGCTGCTTCACACTTCTCAGCACTCTTGGAGGCACAGTATTACGGCAGCCTTCGGCTGCATCAAGAACACAGTTTACTCTAAAGTGACAGGGGAATTTTCAATTTAAAAACCCATTTCTTGTCAACACTGGCTGCTAAATATTTTATGCCCTCTGGTCCTGTGGCACCTTGGGGACTTGATTGCTGAGACCTTTCTGCCTGTCATTATGATGAAAAGATAGCTCCTGATGGCATGAGGGGTAGGGGTGCAACTGGAAGGAGCAGGGAGAGTAGGGAGGAAGAAGTACATTGCAAGCAATTCCCTATTCTTTTTCTCTGTGTCTCTTGATGTTCACATGTGCAAAGGCACTCTGGGAAAGAAAAAGGAGCACTGTTTTTAGAGTCTTCCTGACAAGTCCTGCATTATGATCCTGGTTCCGACCCCAATTACTACAGCTTCTCTGATTGGACCTCCCTGTCAGTGATGATGGTGCTGTGGATTACTTACCTCACCACTAATATGGACTTGGAACTAGACATTACTATCTCTCCATCTCCCACATTCTACAGCCCTACTATGGACAGGGAGCCCTGGTGTGGCACTGTAGGATCAGCATTGCACTGCTATCTGCAAGGTCAGCAGTTCAAACCCACCAGCTCCTCCTCAGAAACCCTATACAGGGTCGCTTCAAGTCTGAACCTATTGCAAGGCACTTAACAATAGCTGTGGAGAAGCTCTCCTTCTTTCTGTCCTTCCAGAGCATTCGGTCCCTTTATTAAAACATGCTGGGCTGAAAACTTTGCTACCTAGTTTCAAAAATGGATTGTCTAATGAGTCAACAAATGAGCATCTGGTGGACTGCACAGGGAGAGTGAGGAATGTGGGGTCAGGACACCTTACTTCCTAGTGCCAGTCAACAATGACTGGATGTGTGATCTTACTCAAATGACTTGTACAGTTTCAACTTTTTTCCCCATATATAAAGCAGGGTTGTTGTTGTTAAGTGCCGTTGAGGCAGTTCTGACCCATGGCGACCCTGTATAGGGTTTCTGAGGAGTGGCTGGTGAGCTCGAACAGCCGACCTTGTAGTACAACCTGACCTTGTAGTACAGTGCATTAATCTACAGTGCCACAGTGAATATTATACAGGGGGGTTGTGAAGCTTGAAGGAGACAATGTATAAGGGACTTCGCTGTAATTACAAAGGGAACTAATATTTACAGTGTATTACAAGCTACCAGGTACTCCATTATGCCATTTATATACACATTTCAACAACAAAAAAATTTCCACATCCCTGATGGAGCCAAGTACAGTGTTTTGCATTTGCCGGGGACTTCAAAAAGTTAATGGAAGAATTTCATTTATACTTCAATTCTATTTTCCCCCAAACTTTTTGAAGCCTCATTATAAACGCATTTTCCTTTGCTGAGTCTCAATTACCTTAGCTATAAAATGGATCAGGTAATAATAATATGTGCCTCACAGGATTCTGGTGACCGCTAAATACGAAAACCAGTTACTCATCTGTGTCTGACTACTTCTCACAGAGCACCTGACCTCTAGGAAGTCGTTTTGGAGCCTAAGTATGGAGTTATGGGTGTTGTTGTTGTTGTTGTTGTGTGTGTGTGAGAGAGAGACGGGGAGGGAGGAGGGAGAGGGGGAAAGATCAGGTTCTGAGGAGCTTCCTGTTATAGCACAAGCTGTAGCATCTTTCTCCTCCTCTGCTCTCTGGCCTCAGTCTAGTTTCTTCTCAGGCCTGCTCTTTGTCTCCTCCCAGAGGAGCTGGACCAAGTCCCCTAGTTCTCCCCTTTGCATTCCTGTTCTGGGCCATGTTCATGTGAAAGATTCTCTTTTACATCTCTGGCTTAACTCTCCTCCTGCCCCATAAACCAAAATCAGATGCCACTGAGTCAAATCCAACTCATGCGGACCCCATGTGTGTCCGAGTAGAATTGTGCTCCAAATCAATGCCTGATATTTTGAATATAGATCGCTGGGTGCCTTTCTTCCAAGGTACCCCTATGTAGACTCGAACCTTTAACCTTTTCATTAGCAGTGAGCACCTTAATCATTTACACCCCCCAGGTACTTCTCCTGCTCCAAAACAGTAAAGTAGCTAGGGATTTGTAACAGAAAAATCTGAGAGCCAAAGTCCATATGTGCATGTGAAAATGTATGCCTGTGTTGGAGAGCTTGGTAGAAAAAGTTCCATGCTAAGATTCAGCTCAAGGTAGCGACGGCTAGGTGCATAGGGATTTCCATCCAGGAGTTCTGAATCTAGGTTGGGACTCCTGTCTCCCTCCCCTAGTCTATGCCAGTTATCTTCCAAGCCTTTGATCTGACTGCTTGGCAGCACCTCTACCTAAAGTTAAACAATTTTCCAATGTGTGGATTGAAATTTTTCTGCACCCTATGCTGGCTGGTGCAGGGCCCATTTTGAGAACTGAAAATACTTGTCTGTACATCCTCAGGCCATGGCAGCCTCCTGATGGGTAACCTAAGCTTGCTCACAGACTGAAGAGGGAAGCTGCAAGCCAGCACGGGGAAGCCTGCCAAATTGGAAAGACAAGTGGCAGAGAACAGATTCCATTCTGGAGCATAACAATCACATTAGTTGGCTCAGAGTGAAATGGTACCAGCATCCAACAGGGATGTCACATGGGTGCTGGAAGCACCAGTGGCAGCCTGGGGCCCTGGGGAAGGAGCCCATGATACACATCAAGAACAGAGGCAGGCATGAGCAGTGAGGCCTCCCAGCCTCTGCTGTTCACTGAGCACCAGGAAGCAGGTGCCACAGTCAGTGGAAACGAAGGACCTGTGATGGCAGCACCCTCCGAAATGGAGGGTTGGAGAAGCTGAGCATGGCAGGAGCTGAAGCCCATTCGCAATTTGATGTAATTCAAGCCTCCTATTTTCCTAGTTTCACTAATGTTGGCAAGCAGATGCTAACGGATTCAATTCAGATCAGGCCCTGCCAAGGCAACAGAGGACATATCTCTTGCCAAGTCATTGCAGGATATACAAAGGACATGCTGAGCCCAGTCATTTGTATCTCTCCCAGTGCCCACCAAATAAGGTCCAAACTTGTTGGCCTGGTATGACAAGGTCCTTTCTAAATGACCCCAAACTATGCTTCCAGCCTCAACTCCTTCCACTTCCTTTCAAGCACCCCATGCTCCAGCATGGAATTTTCCAATGCCTTGAATTACCAGACCCATTATCATCTCTGTGTCTTTTCAGACATTTTTAGTATGAATGTTTCATTTCTTTCTTTGTCACCCAGAAGACTCCTATTCAACCTTCAAAACCTAGCACAAACATCACCTCCTTTCTAACAGTGGGCACTAGTACTCCTGTTTATTGCTCCCCTCCTGAATGCTAATGGGTGCCAGGAGTCTTACATGCATTGCATCATTAAAGCAACCCCGCCAGACTGAGAGGCGTACTTCTTACTTTACAGATACGAAAAATGAGACTCCGAAGGTTCAGAAATGTGCTCAGTTTCTCAGCTAGTGAGTGGTAGAGTTAGGATTCAATCAATCCACCCATCAATCGACCATGTTGACTGTGCTCCTACTGTGGACCAGGCACTAACTATGGTTCTAATAGAGAGAAAAGACTTGCAGAATTCCTGCCTTCATGTAAGACAGTGGTCAATGTACAAGTGCTTGTAAGTGTTCTGAAAGAGGCTATACAGGTGGCTATGGATGGAAATTCATACCATTTACAGTTCTGGCCATTCTGCTGACCGCCTTCCGAATTCCTGGGGCAGACTTCTCTACTGTGTCCTCAGGACTCCACTATATCCATACCTCGCTCTGCCTCCCTTGACCACAGCACTTGTTACCCTGGATGGACGGTGTCTTATTCGTCCTTGTATCTCAGAGTCCTCACCAAGGCTGCTCAGTGTATAAATGAATAACGGGTGTGGAACTGAGAACCCTAGTGATGAGAAATATCCTTACCTGAGAAATATCCATCACTGAATCACAGCTGAGAGGTCGGGCTGATGTCAGATCATTGGAGCCCAGCAAGGTGGAGATGATCCCATTCTGATCAATGCGTCTGATCATGGTGCCATCCACAAAGTAAATCAGCCCAAATTTGTCCACTGTAATGCCTGGGAGAAGAGAAGCCAAAAATGGGAAGTGAGTATCACAGATGATGCAAACACCCAGGTTCACGGGGTCTTCTGAGTTGACAAAGCACTTCTTCCTCTGTGATTTGATTAGATCCTCAACAACCTTGTGGGGTCAGGGGGACTGCACTGGTTACATTCACTGCCTTTTTAAAGATGAGACTTTGAGCGACCAGTTCAAAGCAGGGGTTAGAACCCAGGTTTTCAGATTTTCCTGGGCTTTGGGTCCTTTCATCTTGTTCCCTCCTGGGCAAACAATCAACAGGACTCTTAGGTGAACCACAGCAGGGAGATGCCCACTCATAAAAAAAATTAACCATACAGATCAAAAGGGCAGCATTTGCCTGGAGAAAAAACTCTGAAGACAGGAAGAGATAGGAAAGCGGTATGAATGGCAACAGTAAACACAAACACAAACCCTGTTACATTGTGGGCAACTGCAATCAATGTGACAAAACAAAATGTGGAGGAACTGTCCGATGGGAAACCAACTTGCTCTATAAAATCTAAAAACCCCAAACCACTGTCACTGAGTTGATTCTGACTTATAAATAATCCTACAGGGCAGAGTTCTCGGTCCATAAGATTCCAAAGGCTGTGCATCTTTATGGAAGCCTAATTTGTCTTCCACATAGAGATTGCTAGCTTCGAACTCCTGACCTTTCCACTAGCAACTCAGTGCTTAACCTGCTGTGCGCCACCAGGGCTGCTTCTGCCCTGTAAACTTTCACCCAAATCATAGTAAACACACACACACACACACACACACAACTGGATTAATAATTTCTGACAATGGTAAGGTCTACCACTGTGAATTACTAAAATTAGCCTACTTTTGAAGTCTTGTAACTATGGGAGTATCTCCTTTATGGTAACACGTTTTCTTTTCTTCCTCCTATTTTTTTCTATTCCTATGATTTTCATTTCATTGGCCATTACAGAAGTATAGAGTCTAAAGAGAATCCTGTGCGTTTATGTAGAGAGAACAGTTTAAATTTAATTTCTTAAAAGGCACATTACAGAGGGACGTCAGTATGAGTACTCGTTATCTTCCCCACTCACTGAACTGTCCAACTGTCCCAGCCTCTGACTTTCTCCTTTACTATCTTGTGTGACCTTGGGCGAGTCACTGAACAGCTCTCTGCTTGTTTTCTCAGCTCTCAGATGAAGGGATTCCTCTAAGTCTATATTTCTCACCCTTGGATTATGTGTGAGAGTCACCTGGGGAGCTTGCTAAAACATTCCCCCTAGACAGCTGCTTCAGAATATCTCAAGTGGAGCCTTGAGTCTCTACCTGTATTTTTGACAAGCACCTCAGGTGATAATGGCCCACAGCAAGGTTTGAGAGTCACTCTACTAAACCAGCACATCTTCACCTTAATCTGTATCAGAATCACCCAAAGTGTATTCTCAAAATCGACCTGGAAATATGAATTCGGGGGTGTTTTCAGAAACACTCCTGACACTGACTTCCACCCTGATTAAGAATGTGAGTCAGCATAGACACACACCTACCAAACTGAACTGCTCAGGGGTGCTGGGGCAGAGAGGGGGCACACAGGCAGCACTGGGAACCTGTGGAGTGCCCCGGGAATGACAGAAACCGAGAGGACTCTGGTTCATAGTGACCAAAGGAGGCACTGGTCAGTTTTGTTTTGTTCACTTTTCTAAGAAAGAAGGGATTACAAAAGGCTTCCCAGAGCTGGAGACTCTTGAATTATAAAGCTTTCCAGTGCTATAACCTTGGGCAAGGGACTTCATTTTAAAGTCTCAGTTACTTGTCAGTAAAATGGGGATAATAATAACTGATTTGGAATAGTCAGCCTTTAGCAATTACTAATGCACTCCTGGTGTAGCGTTACAGGATGAGCATTGGACTACACACCATAAGGTCAACAGTTCAAACCCATCAACTGCTCCTTGGAAACCCTGTACATGGTTGCTATCTGTCAAAACCAATTCCTTGGCACTTAACAACAACAACAATGATTAGCATATTTATGAGAATGTGACTGGCATTTTATGGGTTTCAAGACCCCTAATCCTAGGCCCATGTGGCCAGCAGGGTGGCTTAAGACAGTCAAGGACCTTTGAGTGAGGAAGCCCATTCAAACAACAGTTGTTCCTTCTGCCTTATCCCTAGGCTAACTAACCAGTGCTGGAAACTGATTTCAAACACAGGGCCAGGCAGCCTCAAGGCTGGGAGAACCTTCTGTCCCAGGCCAGGATGTAAATTAATTACATTCTTTAAGTAACAGGAGTTTTCTTGTCTGCCTGGAGATGCTCTGTCTTCTTCTTCCATCTGCTAGGACTGATGAGTGCTCTGTGAACAATTGGGTTTCTTGTTTACAAACTTGACTGCTCAGGCTAATAGAAGTGATCTGTCCTCTGATTAATAACAGGGAGTCCCTGGGATACCAACGAGATCCCTTCCTAAGTGGGTCAAGTCGAATTTGTCGGTAAGTCAGAACAGGTGCTACAGTTCTTATTCAGCCTTGCTTTAGTGCAAGGAAAGGCATGAAGCCTTTTCAATGGTTTAAAAGCTGCACGTTCAGCAAATGACAGTGACAAAGAATTTGTGGGTCTGCTTCAATCATTTCAAAGTGAGGGCACATTTACATAACATGAAAGGGCAAGTATAAATTGTCCAAGTTGAATTGGACGTTCTTAACCTAGGGGATTTCCTGTACTTTATTTCCCTCCTTTGTTGTGCTAAATAGGTAAACATCTTTTCTCCTCCCTGCTGCAAAGTGTCTGCAAATCATGGCACCCTTATCACTTCTATCTGGGTTAATTATAAGCTGTTGGGCAATTTCAATGCTATAACATCTGTGTGTGTGTGTGCACGTGTAAAAATGCCTGTATTGTGGCTGTGTGAGAGGGAGTGACGGCAAGCAAGAGTGAGCAAGCCAGAGAGACAGAGAAAAGTGGAGGAGAAGGAGGGAAGAAAAAGGGAGGAAGAGGAAGGAAGTCGGGAGGGATGGAGGGAGAAAGAAAAGAGAAGACATGTGTGTAGAACAATTGAAAAAGCCTGGAAGAAATAAAAAACAGATTTTTATTTAAATCTGATTTAAAAATTAAAAAACAAAACAAAACTGTTTTAATCATGAGTGTAAATGTTGCACCTCAAAGAAGGTTAAGTGATCATCTAGTTGGACTTGCTCATTAGCCAGTAAGGGAATGACAACAATATTGAGAGTAGCCTGGAATGAAGTTAATACTTGCAATTAGAGACCCTGTATATGGTTTTCATAGCAACCCTATAAGACAGAGTAGAACTGTCTCCTTGGGTTTCCAAGACTGTAAATCTTTATGGAAGCAGATAGCCTCGTAGGTCTTCTAAGGGGTGACTGGTGGGCTTGAACCATTGACCTTGCAGTTAGCAGCTCGATGGCAGTGGGGTTTGAATGATGGTTCTACTCTATCACTCACTGGCTCTGTGACCTTCTTCTCTGGGCCTGTTCCTGGTATGGTGCTGTAGAAAAAGCACTGGATTGCTAACCTCATGATGGTGTGGTTCAAAGCCATCAGCTGCTCCTTGGAAGCCCTATACAGGGTTGCTATGAGTCAGAACAATCCCAAAGGCACTTAACAACAACAACATAGTAGATGCTTCCTCATTAAGTGATGGTCCCTACTATACAGTATGTTTTCCACGTGCCTGGCATTAACTTTCAGGATAATCACTGGTCTGGCACTGTAGGATCAGCACTGGATTTCTAACCTCATGGCTGGCAGTTCAAACTCACCAGCAACTCCTCAGAGACCCTATATAGGGTTGCTGTGACTCAGAAGAGACTTGATGGCAGTGAGTGTGGTTTGGCAGAGTTGTTTGTTGTTGTGTTGTTAAGTGCCATCAAGTCTGTTCTGACTCATAGTGGCCCGAGAGGACACAGTAGAACTGCCCCGTAGTTTCCAAGGTGGTAAATCTTTATGAAAGAAGACACATCTTTCTCCAACAGTGTAGCTGGTAGGTTTGAACAGTCAACCTTTTGGTTAGCAGTCCAGTGCTTAACCCATGGCACTAACAGGACTCCTTATAACTATGCATTATGTTCTTATTTCATAGATGAAGAAAATGAGGCTCAGATAGACCAAGCAGCTTCCCGAAAGCCATACAGTAATTGTGGAGCCATCTGATTCTGATTACAAGATTAACTGCTTGTACTCGAGTCTACTGTTTTGTGTTAAAGCAGGGTCTGAAATCTAACACATTAAGCTAACCACTTATATTTTTATACTATATCATATGAAATGCATTCATCTTGATGCTACCACCCTATCCAAGACTCCATTCACTGCTTCCTCTATTGCCTTTCAGCGTCCTTTTAAGCACAAATCTTGCCTGTGGGGTTTAGCTGTGAGTTTAGCAGGTCTAATCTTTTGTGTGTCTTTTGTTGTTGTTAAATGCTGTTGAGTTGATTCTGACCCATAGTGACCCTATATAGGGTTTCTGAGGAACAACTGGTGAGCTTGAACCACCGACCTTGCAGTTCAAACAGCTTTGCAGTCTGGTGCATTAACCCCTAGCGCCATACCAGGACTCCTAGTGTGTCTTTAGCACCTGCAATATAGAAGTCATCCACTGATGTTGTTGTTGTGAAGTGCCGTTGAGTTGGTTCTGACTCATAGCAACACTGTATAGGGTTTCCAAGGAGCACCTGGTGAGCTTGAACCACCAACTTTGCAGTTCAAACGGCTTTGCAGTCTGGTGCATTAACCCACAGGTGCTCCACACCAGGAATGCACTGTTGTTATGTGCCGTGGAGTCAGTTCTGACTCATAGTGACCCTGCACAGGGTTTCTGAGGCTGTAAATCTTTATGGGAGCAGAATGCCTCATCTTTCTCCCGCCTGTTGGTTATTAATGAAGAAGCCTCCCTTATAAATCTTCCAGGGTCTTCTCAACCACAAGGGGTCACTCTCGTCTCTGAGCTCCCAGGTGTGGTTCTTTCTCCTAGCACCTCATGCCCTGTTCTCTCCCATAACAGAGTGAGTCCTGTTCCTTTCTTACTTATTTGGCTATAATGAACTTATTTATCTCTGTGCTCAGTAAATACTTTCTAAATACATGAATGAAAACTGTAATTGTGGCTATGAGGTGGCCCAAGTTTGTGAAGGACTCAAGCTTGAAATGACATATAATCCATCTTGAAGCACATGGTTATGTGCCACATGCTAGATCACAATTCTGCATATAACAATGATCTAGAGTTACTGTAAATGTCCAGCAGTAAGGGATTGATGAATACAGACAGGGCACTAATCTGATGGAGTACTATAGAGACAGTAAAAGTGAGTACCAGTAAGACTAATGACATGGAGGAAAATGATGATATAAAAGCTACAACTCACTGCTATCGAGAAATGAAAGCAGGTTACTAAAATAGCTTGTTTAATGTGGTTTCACTTTTTTGTAGAGAGGTGGATATTATATATACACAAACATTTAGAAGCAAGACTAAGGAAAAAGGAAAGAAAGGTTAATTGGGGATACTTCAGGGAGGGTGGAGGAAGGAAAATTAAAAAATTTCCCTGTGTCTTTTTTCAGTAGTTTTTTTTTTTTGTTTTTTTTTTTAAATAATGACGAACATTGTATTCTTTTGGAAGTGGAAAGCACCCCAATAAATGTTACTGATAGTGTTTAAAAAAGCAAAGCCTTCAGAGACTGGGACCCTACCCAGAGAAGCAGTGATGCCTGAAATGGAGCCAGAGATGATGACGTGGAGCGATGGAGCAGCTGGAGACTTTAGATCCAGACAGGGAGAGCGACTGTGTGCTGAAGACCTGGGGGGTACGGGGAAGGATTGCATGGAGGGGATTGTAACCATGGCAATGAGACGATATACGATAGAATGAATGTAAAACCCATGTAAACTATCACATAATTCACAATAAAACATTAAAAAAAAAAAGCAAAGCCTTACCCCTGGGGTTGGTAAGTGTGGCTTCTGTGGCCTTCCCACCATCCCCACAGCGAGTGTCATCGAAGGGGAGGCACTGGTCACCAGTCCCCGCGACCACCTCGGAGTTCTTGGCAAGGTCCTTCACCACCACAGTGGATTTGACTTTGAAAACCCGCCGGCTGTTGGTGTCTGAAAGGAAGACAGCTCCACTCATGGGGTCTGTGGTCAGGTAGTATTTATGCGCTGGGCTGTGACTGCAAAACAAAGACATGGCCATTTGGTGAGCACACCCTTCTGTTCTAACAGGTAGCTAGAGATAGTACAATTTTCAGGTACAACTTGTACAACAGGTACAACTTGAATTCTGGTCCTGTCAAACCCATACGAAAAAGTTCTATGAGATAAAAATATATAAAGGAAGGTTTTCCTTCATTTTGTCTCCCTGAGTTGAACTAAACACACCTTGCCTATCTCCTTCGGCCCAAATGACCTACCTCTCTAGCCCTAACACTACTGTACTATTGCTTCTGGTTCAAACAAAAGGCAGGCCCCCCTGCCTATAGCCCTGGGTCGTCTCCAGGCTCTTCCCCCTGACTTAGCCCAAGAACTAACTTGTTTCTCTTCAGAGTGATAGATCCTCAGTCTTTCATACCACAGAAGTTGGCCTAACTGTTCCTTCTACCCAACTACTACTGCAACAGACTCTTGGTCCTTTCATCGTACTAGGGTGTTTCACAACATTAGGTGCACGTCAGATGCTCAGTATGTGTTTTCTTAATAGACTGTCATGCATGACTGGCAAATTCAAGTCAGAAACATGAAGGGGATTGAATTAAAAAACATAATCAAAACAAAGCACCACCACCAACAAAAATCTTGAAGAGTTCAAAACAACAACCCTTCCCTACACAGGGTTTTTATAGCACAAACCCAACCCCACGTTGGGTCTGCTTGATGAGATGTGGGCTGGATCTGACTGACTAACAGCGGCATCAACACTGTCTCCTGTGGATACTTGTGGTATATTTATCAGGAGCCCAGAAGTCTCCCTCCTGTGGTCAGACAGAAATGAACTGCAGGGTTAGTTTGGAATTTGCAGCAACACTCCAGGAAAAATAAACAAAATGGAGCAGCGGTGTGGATGATGGTTCTGTCTCTGAAAAACAGCCAGAATGACCAGGTTATGTTAACATAAGAAGCAGAAGTTAGACTGAGGCTGATCTGAAGCTTTAAGGAGCCAAGGTACCATTTCTAGTTGCAGGGTGGGGAAAATGCAGAAGTGTTGGGACCAGATGGCTCTGGATACCAGGTCTAGCTCTGTCATTTCCTGGTTCTGCAACTTGGTCAAATTAGCTGATCTCCCAAACCTCAAGTTTTTCTCATCTGCAAAGTGGAGAAATTTATGGCTACCTTGCAGGTCTATTGGGAATACTGTGTAAGATCAAATAGCCAAAGTTGTTGTCGTTAAGTGTTGTCGACTCGGTTTCAGCTCACAGAGCCCCTGTATAGGGTTTCCAAGGAGCAGCTGGTGGGTTTGAACTTCTAACCTTGTGGTCTACAGTCCAGTGCTAATCCTACAGCGCCACACCAGGAGTCGGTAACCACAGTAGATGCTCAATAATGATATTTTTTATTTTAATGATCAGTAACTGCATGTTTGTACTTGGATGTGACTACAGTGTTAGTCTTTCTTACTAAGCCTGAGTTTTGCTGTCATATGGTTTATAATTTCTTCCAAGTATAGGCCACACTGTGGTTGGAATCCCTTTTTGTAAAGTGCTAACAAAGTCAGTTTTGACTCTCAGGGACCTGTATAAGGTTTTCGAGGAGAATCTGGTGGGTTTGAACACTGACCATGTGCTTAGCAGTCCAGGGCTTACACTAAAGTACACCACCAGGACTCCACATGTCAAGTCAAAGAAGGTAAGGATAAAATATAATCACTCTTGGGAAGCCAATTTTCAGTTCCTGTACATGGCCTTATCACCTATGAAGCCCTTAACCTGCATCTCAATACTGAAAGATGCTTCCAAGTTTCTGGGAAGTCTTGTGATTCACAGTAATCTCTCTCACTTGAGATGGCCGGGCCTGATATTGTCTGTTGTCATTGGATTAGTGAGAGGAGTCAACGGGCAGACTAAGCAGGCTTAGAGCACCGGCAAAGCAGAGGCACTACATATCCTTCCAAAATTTAAGTAAGAGAATCAAAAAAGCCTAGAAAGAAGCTAGTTTGCCTTGTGCCAGGCATCTAATTTTGGCTCCTTTCAAAAAATAAAATTTTATTTTATTGACTGGTGGTGTTTTTACTTTGGTTTGCACAGCAAGGTTAGGAAATCATCAATTTTACAGCATCTCAAATTCTTGATGCTGCCATCTGGCGTCCAGATGCTTGTCTTCATAACCATCCTGGACTGGTCACTTCAAATAGGGAGCTCTGAACCCACAGTTTTCCTTACTTTATTTTCTCTCCCTGAATGCAACCAAACTCCATGACTATCTCCAATTCTCCAAATGACCTACCTCTCTAGTCCCCATGCTGGTATACCATTGCTTCCTTATTCAAAGAAAAGGCCTATAGCCCGGGTCTTCTCCAAACTCTTCCCCTTGACTTAGCCCAAGAACCAACATATGATCCTGGACTCACCATTTCTTATAAAATTAGCTCAGTTTTCCCAGTCTAGAAGCACTCTGGTGCTGCTTTCTTCTCAGCTTCTTGTCAGTCTTGCCCTCCATACTGGCCCATGTTCAGCATCGCTGAAGACCTTGTCCTTCTAACACACCTGCCTGCCTCTGGGTACACTGCTCTGTGCTATGTCCTTCCTCCTGCCTTTTTCATGCTAATGAACTCATTCTTCAGGTCTGAGCTAATGCTCTCTTTTCTGCAAAGCCTTCTCCAAACCTTCTACCCTGTGCTCTGAGGGCAGCCTGTTTATGTCTGGATTACACGGACCCTTAAATAGTGTGTGGCTAATTATTTCTGTGTCTGTCTCCAAAATCACACTGTCAATACTTGGGGAAGAGACTGGATTCCATTTATCTCTGTATTGTCTCATAGTAAAAAACCAAACCCAATCAGTTTCCAGTGAGTTGATTCTGACTGCTGGTGTCCCCATGTGTTTCAGAGTAGAACTGTATTCCATCAAGTTTTCATGGCTGTAATCTTTCAGAAACAGATCATTGGCCTTTCCTCTGAGGTGCCTCTGGGTGCCTTCAAACTGCTAATTAGTGGCCAAGTGCCTAACCATTTGTGTCATCCAGGGACACCTAGCCCACAGTAGGCACTCATTTTAAATAGATAGCATCTCCAGACACAATTTTACATAGGATTTTCATTTATATTACTTAGCTTTTAGTTCTCTTTTTCAGGGGTGGGAGTGGGTGGTAAAAGGAGAGATGCTCTATTTATTCTGAAGTGTCCCCTGAGACTGACCCTAACATGCAGTACAAATGTAATCTTCACAGAGCTTACTGGTTCTGGTGAAACAGAAGGCAGTGGCCTTAGACAATGCTTTCTTAATTCTGGGGCAGCCTTGATCATTCTGGTTTCCTGGAGACAGCTGTGAGGCAAGGCTGGTCATTTCATTTCTTCTGCCCATCACGCATGATACACTGGCACCATCCACAGTGGTGAAAAACTCGGGTACTGAGGGGTGTGGTGGGGGGCCTGTCTGCTTTGATTTTCCCTCTGGGTTTTCAGCTCATGTCTTTCTGCCTGGCTCCAGAGAAGTGTAACTCCTAGGGAGTTTCTCAGGTTGTTGAGTTCCAGAAGAGGATAGTTCTGGCAGGATTACCATAAAGAGTCTCCAAGAGCCATGGCTGCATCTTTTGTGCCAGAAGGCAAATTTGAAGTTTGATGGTCAGTTACCTAAGTGTATGTGAAAGAGTTCAAGCTTTGAACTTGGAAGGTCTGGGTTTATATTTTGGGCAAATTACCCAAACCTTTCAAGTCTTGGGCTCCTCATCTGTCAAATGATAAAGTTGTTGCTCAGCTTTGCCATGAAGATCAAATGAGATTCTACATGACAACAGCCCTCTTCCATCTGCAGAACACTTGGCTAGCTTTTGACTCATTGCTTCCTCCTCCTGCCATCCAGCTATGGGAGCAACACCTGCACCAACGATGCCCAGCTGGACCTCCACAGGCCGCAGCACCACCAGTCTTTAGTACAGAACTGCAGAGAGGAGCAGCATGCAAACAAATGATCCAGTACCACTTATGGATTCTTTCCTATTCTGTCCCAGGTACTGCACTGCCACTTGACACAGATAACCTCCTTTTCCTCAACACTAGTCGCTGAAGAAGGAGATCATGTTTGGTAAGGTGGAGGGTCAGAGGAAAAGAGGAAGACCCCCAATGAGATGGATTGGCCAAGTGGCAGCATCGATGGACTCAAGCGTGGCAACAATAGTGAGGTTGGCCCAGGACCACGCAGTGTTTCGTTCTGCTGTGTATAAGGTCGCTATGGGTTGGTACTGACTCGATGGCACTTAACAACAATAACAAACCATATAATGTGGGCACTTTAGAAAACAGGGACTGAGAGAGGTGCACTGACTTGCTCAAGGCCACACGCTGCTAGGTGCACAATGGGAGTCCAGCTCAGGTCAGCAGGAAACCAAAGTCTCTGTTGCTCCTATTTTCCCACACCGCATCTCAGGATCTCCGCTGCCCGGCTGCCTATACCTACCTAGGAACACCTGGCCATCTCCTGAGACTCAGCTTGAACATCACCTCATCCATAAGCGCACTCCTGGCTTCCCCCACTGGTAGAATTGGCCATCCCACTGAACTCTGAGCAGATTATACTTTCATACCCATAATACTTTTCTGTTTAGCTGTCTATCTCCTCAGTGAGATCTTAAACTTATCAAGGGCAAAGACCTACCTCCCTGCACTGGTGGGCACATAAAAAATATACACGATGAGGAATATTATAGTGATGGTTCTCCAATATTACACATCAAAACCATCTAGAGAGCTTCTTGACCCAAGCCCCCAGCCATGATGATTAAAGGGCCTGGCCTTTAAGATACATTTAAGATCAATCCATGGCCTTGGAACCATGCTTCACAAACTTTATGTGCATGAGTCACCTGGGAATTTTGTTCAAATTTCGATGAAGTTGTTCTGGGGTACAGCATGAGCTTCGGCATTTCTAACAAGTTCTTGGAGGATGCCGGTGCTGCTTGTCTGTACTTTGAGCATAAGGCCTTGGGATACTCTACAAGCAATGAAAATCTTCAGGCCAGGACACGGTAGCTGTCGGCAGCTGGGATCCCAGGACCAGCTCAGGGAGAACTCTGATCCTGTTCTACTTCTCTAGGATTCTGAGCACGGAGCTCTGGTAGCATAGTGGTTACGAATTGGGCTGCAAACCACAAGGTCAGCAGTTCGAAACTACCAGCTGTTCCGAAGGAGAAAGAGGAGGCTTTCTGCTCCCATAAAGATTTATGGCCTCGGAAACCCTGTACAGGGTCATCATGAGTCGGAATCGATTCCACAGCACTTAACAACAACAGTATCCTGAGCAGGCCTGGGCACAGGCCCCAAATTCTATTTCCAGACTTCCTGTAGAAACCCTTGAGGATCCAATTTTGTGCTATTTCCTCAAATATAACCTTGGCATCTCTGGAAGTCACATAAAAATCTTAAAAGTTGTAATTCCAAAGTTAAGGAGCTAAGTAGAACCTCTCCACCCACTTTCTGTCTGGAGTAGATTATTTCTTAGTAGGAGTTTTTTGTTAAGTGCCGTTGAGTTGGTTCAGACTCACAGTGACCCTGTATAGGGTTTCCGAGGAGCTACTGGTGAGCCTGAACCGCCAAGGTTGCAGTTCAAATTGATTTGCAGCCCAGCACAGTAGCCCACAGTATCACACCAGGAGCTGAGAAATCTTAAGGGACAAAAGGCAATCTAGTCCCTACTTCTTAGTGAGAATTCTTGCTTTGTCCTAGCGTAAGAGAGGTCTGCCTTGGTCAAAGGAGTATTCTGTGATCACCTCAGGAGACACCTTTGGCAGAACCTGATCCGCTGGTTCTCAGGACCAGTGGAAAGAGCTTGAGCTTTGGAGCCCCACAGACAGGGGTTCAAATTCCACTTCCAACACCCATTAGGTAGGTGATGTTGGGCAAATCACTTCATTACTCTGAGCCTCAGTTTTGTCATTTGAGACAGAGAGAATCATGCCTACTTCAAAGGCCTATTTTGAGGATACAATTTAACTATAAAGCTTTGAGTACAGTGCCGATCCCATTACAAAAAATTAACATGCCAAGTAAACAGCAGCTTTTAAGCTGGTCACCTTAAGAAACACCTGGAATATTCATGTAACTGCATAATGAAAAGCCAAGTATGACAGTGTTAATGTTGCTCTGTTACAGTTAATATTATATATATATATATAACTTGGTTTAATGGGAGACTTAAGTTCAAATGAGTTTCTGAGCAACAGGCTTCAAATTTCCTCCTTAAAGAAGAAATCTGGGAAGAGGTGAGAATGCTTGTTTCATGAAGAGGTCTACAAAAGAAGATGCCCAAAGGATTCTGGGCCCCTAGACTGAGCATGCTCAGTGTGGTGAAGACATTTAGACTTAACAGGCCTGCCCTGGGGAAATACACACAGGCTAAGGACCCCAGTCACAGAGCCAAGTGTTGTTACTGGGAGGGAGCAGATGTTAATGAATAAATAAAGACGACAAAGCCTCTATATTTAATTTACTCCCTGACTCTCCATCCCGCCTCTACCCTAAACATTATTGATGGGGACACTGAGGCCCAGAGAGAATACCAACTATATCCAGGCACAAATTAAAATCAGAACGGATATTTGAATCCAGGTCTTTTGACTTCTGATTGTTCCATGGAAAATTAGAAGGCAGAAAGAGTCCTTCTCCCTTTCCACTTTAGAAATCATTTTTAACACCTGAGAAAACAGCAATGATTGGAGAGGAGGCAGAAAGCTGGCTTTGAAATTACTCTCTAGCTAGCAGGGGCTTCAAACAGTTCATGGAAAAATGGAATTAAAAAATGAAAATTTCCCATAAGCTTCTGAAAGCCCCATGTATATCAAAAGATCGCCGAACTTCAGAATCAAAAGGTACCCAAACCTCTCTCAACCTGTAAGTGATGAACTTGAAACCCAGAACTGCTAGGTGACCAGTACACGGCCATAGGGTGCGTTCCCAGCTAATCCTTCTGTACTGCGGTTATGCCCCAAGCAGCATCACCACCATGGGTTTCACGTTTCAGTAGTAAAATATTGGATTTGAATCCAAGCCTCATGTGATATGAAATGAACTTCTATGCTTTTGGTAAAATTGAACTTGAGGGCTTAGATCACTGCATAGTTCAGTATCCTCCATATAAGCCTGGCTGAAAAAATCTCTTGCAGGTATTAGTTGTTGTTGTTAAGTGCCATGGAGTCGGTTCCAACTCATAGTGACCCTGCACAGGGTTTCCGAGGCTGTAAATCTTTACGGGAGCAGAAAGCCTCATCTTTCTCCCACGGAACCGCTGGTAGTTTCGAACTGCTGACCTTGCGGTACCACAGCCCGATTCACAGAGGCAGGCAAAAATATTTTTCTTCTATTACTGGACATATTTTCCAACTTATGAGATTATCAACCATGGACATAATTATGTTTTCCATTCTTACCAGGAAACTCAGAGTCTAATATGATGTACAGTTACCTCTATGTGTTTTCTTCTTTTATCTCCTGTTCCCAATTTTACCTTAATACATGTGCCTCTGGTTGGAAGAGGACTGGTATTTGTTTTCAGAAAACACAGAGTTCATTGAGTCCCCTGCCATATAATCAATGCCAACTTACAGTGACCCTTCAGGATAGAAAGAATTGCTCCTTAGGGTTTTGGAGACAGTAAAGCTTTATGGGGACAGACAGAGCTTCATCTTTCACCCTCACAGTGGCTGGTGGGTGTGAACCACCAACCTTGTGGTTGACAACCCAATGCTTAATACACTGGGCCACCAGAGCTCCTTGGAAAAGGCAGAGGTATAATAATAATAATAATAATAATAATAATATTATTATTATAACATTTATAATATTGGGGTCCTGGTTTGATGCTATAGGACTGCTAACCCCAATAAAGGTGGTTCAAACTCACCAGCCACTCTTTGTAAACCCTATGCAGGGTCACTATAAGTCGCAACCAACTCAATGGGCACTTAACAAGTGTTTATAATATTATTGTTAGAACTACCATTTCTGGGACCCCCCCCTCCCTGTACCTGGCACAATTCTAGACACTTCCCAACAGTCTGCGATGTTTGTACAGCAATTCTCCAAGGGAGACTATAGTAACTTCAAAGTAACTAAAGATCTTTTTTTTTTTTAAGTTCATAGACTGGGGGTACCTCAGTTTTCTAAGGTATATATAGGATATAATGAGGGGTGCCTAACTCAAAGGGTGGTTGTGGGGATGAGCTGTTATAATGCACATAAAGTAGTTAACCCCTTCTCTGTTACATGGAATATGCCTTATGAATTTAAAGACAGAGGTGACTTGCAGTAGTGGAGTGATATCCATGCACAGGCTGACATTCCCCTCAGTGTGCCCTTCCTGCTGTAGTATTATGTGGGCCCACAGCACGGCTCTACCCTGCGACAAAGCCCTTGGTGAGAGAATGCTTTCTCCATGTGGTCCTTGTGGGCACAGCCTCTCCCACTCTGCCCTTGTGGCAAACTTTCTGATGAGGCCCTCTGACATCCAGCCCCCAAGGCCGAGGCATCCGAATGCCCACAGACATGCTGGTCTGAAGCCTGTCTTCTAGATTCTTAGCCTCAGTGGGCTGTTCTCAGGACTTCGATCATGGGCATTGAAGTGACTCCATACAGTGAGGACGATGTTCTCATTTATTGTGAGGACAAGGAGACTGTGGTGTTCAATTACTATTCTGATGCCCAGGGTTTAAATTTTTTTTTTTTTTCCCTATTATTTTAGTCTGCCATGCCTGCAGACTACCAAAGTAAACTGTCTCACTTTGCTACAGATGAAAGGGAGTTCAGGCTCTTGCCACCCACCTTCACCATTATTAATGACTTCCTTTCCTTGCAACTGATTACCCCAAATCAGTTCCCATCACACAGGATTCATTTTCCATTGAGCCATCTGAAACTGACACGTGCAGCTTACCATACAACATGCAACGAGGCAGGGGAGAGACAGAAAATTCTCCACTGGTTGGCTTACCTATGTCTGAAATCTTTATTTCTGACAGAAGACAGGAGAGCAGGGAATAGAAGAAAGAAAGAGGTGTTAGCAGAGGGGTTAGAAGCATTATTAGCAGCTGAAAACTTGACAGCAATGGTACTGCACAGTACTATAATAAATAAAGACTTAGGCAGCTATGACACTGATACATTTTATATTGGATATTACTTGTCAGTGAGTTCACTTACGAGCAGCTACATATCACAGAAGAGGCATAGTTTCACCTACACCACTATTGCTGGCTTTGGGGGATGAGGACTAGGCTGACATATTCTGCTGCTTTAACAAGGGCTAAGGCAGAGACGGGAACCGTGGATTCTCTTCACGGTACAGAGATAGTTACCTAGAAATACACATGCTCAATACTCTCTGTGTAGTAAGACGTATAAAAACTTGGGTAGCCCACCAGAAACCTACTGATGCAGGACAAAGAATTAGAGATATACTATAATTAGAAGTCAATGGGTGACAGAAACAGGACCAGGGAAAAAAGGCTATATGGAACTACATCCAAGTGATACTACATCAATATATTTACTTATCTTTCAAAATTTCATTTGGCCCCTCATTCTCTATTCACTGTCTCACATGCTCTCCGAATAGGCAGAGAAAATGGGACCTCTTATTTGAAGACATGCAAACAGAGGCTCAGAGAGTTTACGTGACTTGTCCAAAGTTGCCCAGCTTCTCTGACAAGCTGAACTGACCTCCTAGCCCATGTACAGGACATCATAATACAAGAGATGGAAAGATAATTATGAGCAGCGGATTGAAACAAATACACTCAAGGGATCATTTCATCTCAACAGATGTCTGATTCAGTCAAACTCATGAGAGAGATAAAAAGGCAGAAAATATTCCCATAGGTGGTCCAGGGCTCAATGAGACTGGCAAAAATATGCCCCTGTGCATGTGGGTGAATCCTAGCATTCTTCATTCTAGGGCCATGGATGCTGCTAGTCAGCCAGCAAGCCGTACCCTCCAGCCACATGGACACACTGAAGGATGAGATTCCTTCAGTGGGCCTGTACCTCCAGGGATCATTGAAAAGGCATTAAGTCAGAGTGAATCTCAGAGGTCCTGGTGATGATTCCTTGCTAAGGTAGAGCTGTGGATTTGGTATTTGGATTTGGGCTTGCCATTTTAGAAGACAGAGCTCAGGTTGTTGTTGTTGTCAAGTACTGTGGAGTTGGTTCTGACTCATAGCACAGAGTTGGTTCTGACCCTGTACAGGGTTTCTGAGGCTGTAAATCTTTACGGGAGCAGAACGCCTCATCTTTCTCCCGCGGAGCAGCTAATAGTTTCGAACTGGTGACCTTGAGGTTGGCAGTCCGATTCATAACCACTACACTACCAGAGCTCAGGTACATTCTTTAAATTCACTGAGCCTCCTTTTTCTCATTGATCAAAAGGGCCACTAAAACTACGTTGGCAGACTATTGTATTTAGCTGATAGTAGGAGTCCAGCAAAAGTGAATGTCCTTTTCCCCTGCCCAATCTGGACCAAAGAGTTCCAGCTCAAGGGCCTGGGGGCTCTGCTCACATGGACCCCTGCTAAGAAGACTTCAGATCCTAGTCCCTAAAATAGTTGTGAGGGAATCGGGTGCAATATCTTCTGAAAGGGAGATCTGAGTTTCCGAGCTCTAAAACACAGCCCCATGTCAGCAATCTAGTTTTATGAGACCTGGCTTAGGGAGGCACAGAGAAAATCCAACACGACAATACCTCCCCTGAGCCACAGGCATGGCTGGGCTCCAATCACTCATGGTCAGAACCGGGAAAGAAAGGAAAGGCAGAGGCTCTGTAGCACCTTCAGATCAGAGAAGCACTGCCTGATCTTACCCCTGGGCCTTATCCAGTAGGGATTCACACACTTAACAAAATGTTATGTAACAGGCACAAAGATGATACCATTGTTAAGGGCTCCCATGCATTCCTTGTCCTTATGAAATGACTCATATGACTAATTCCAATCAGTTTGTTGCCAGGAAACAAAAGAAGATTCAATGACTTCCAAGCAGTCTAGTTCCTGGCAGCTAGCAGTCGGCCTTATCTGAATGTCAAGGGCATCTCTCTTTCCCAAGGGTTTTCATTGGAGTGCCCAGTGGGAAGCAGTATCTGTGTCCCTAGAGGCCCAGGCTGTTGGTGTATCCTCTGAACTGGGAAAGTGAAAGGTCCCAGAGTCTGGCAGGCAAGACTCAATCCTGCCCTATTTCTGTGGGCCCAGTGGATTCATATGACGGCAAAGGGATGTTATTAGGAACTGTGAGGAAGGAAGGCAGTGCCCTACATACCTCAACTCCAGGATGTTGGTGACATTCCCAGAGGGGAAGATCCTTCGAATGTAGTTGAAATCACCAACATAGAGGCTCCCATCAGAGCCGCATGCGAGGGCCACAGGGGCCAGGAGTTTGTTGCCATCAGCAAGGCCATTGCAGCTGGGGCAGGAGATGCTTCTGCGGCGTCCATTGCCCATGATGCTCCCAATGACAGGTGGCTGCTGGGACACAAACTGGTTCTCCCCATTCCCTTTGTGCAGGATGCCTGGAAGAGAGTAAGAAGAATCACCTACGGAGCACAGGAAGTAAGCATCATTTCCTCTAGCTAACCACAAAGTCCCCTTGGTTCTACAAGATGTGCTAGCTCTCTGCCTGTCATTCCCAGACTCATCTCTCAAAGCTGTGCTCACCCCCATCTGAGACACAGAGCATCCTGAATAGGTCATACTGTTTTCTTGACTTATCACAACAACTTGGTAAAAGAGATACTATTATTATGCCTATTTTAATGGATGGGGAACAGGTTAGGGTATACAGTGTTGAGTAGGAGAGCTTCAAAAAAGTCTAGATCCTTAACCATGAAGCTACACTGCCCCTCAAAGAGGTTACACAGATCATGGATTCAGTCCATATCTATATTAGAGCATCAACTCTTTATTGTACTTATTTTAGTTTTCTCTCTTTAGATTGAAGTCGTTTCAAAGTATGGAGCCTATGCCTTTTTCCCCATCCGCTCCCTGGAAACCCTATGCAGGGTCATTATGAGTCATAATAACAATCCTCAGTGCCTAGCACAGTAACTGACTAAGTAGATGTCAAAACTTAGCATTTATAGAAATGTTGTTGTTAAGTGCCTTCAAGTCGGTTCCGACCCATAGTGACCCTGTATGGGGTTTCCGAGGCTGTAAATCTTTACGGAAGCAGAAAGCCTCATCTTTCTCCTGCGGAACGGCTGGTAGTTTCGAACTGCTGGCCTTAAGGTCCACAGCCCGATTCGTAACCACTACGCTACCAGAGCTCCTTATAAGTAAGTGAAATTCACAGTCCATACTCACTAAGGGATAACCAAGAGATCTTTTTTTTTTTTAAATTTGCTATAACAGACTTATCCTAGATCTTACACGGGTCACATCAACTGCTTTAATGGCCCATAGGCCTCAGTTTCCCCACCAACAAATGAAGTGATTGACCTCGATGATTTCTAAGCTTCTTCCACGATCTTTTTTAATCTCCTGAACTACTGCCACGCCTCCTAATTGGACTCCCTGCTTTCCATCTTATCCTTCCCTGTCTTTTCTCCATACTAAATCTGATAGAGCTTTTGATTTCTATCTGCCACTAGACTCTTCGCCCAGTCTGTTACCTTTAGCTCTGTACAAGCTGTCCTTTGCCGAACAGTTATCTTTCATTTTTATGTTGAACAGTTATCTTCCTTTTTTTCTTTCTTTTAGAAGTTTGTGGTTTCTTTAGGTTTTAGGAAGTCCTCCTCTAGATCATAAATATCTTCTCTTATATTTTCTTTTATTTATAACTTTAGTGTTCTTTTTCATATTTAGACTTTTAATTACACTTTTACTTATTCTGCATACAATGTAAAGTGGAGATTAAAATTTACTTTTCTCCACACACATTAAATTTTACTTTTCTCCACACAGCCAATTTACCCATTTCCAATTTCTAGACAACCTATCCATTCTCTACTGATAAGTGATGCTACCTCTATCATACACCAAGTTCTTATTCACACATGGTACATGGCAGATATGTGTACTTGTCCAATGATATGACTCCTATCCACAATTTTCTTCTGTAGCTATAGAGTTATACCTGGGCAGGCACACTGCATGAAATCCCACAGCAATGTTATCTTACCCTACTGGTCCCTGTTACTCAACATTTGTTAAGTGTGTTAACCCTTACCTGGAACAGACTATATTCCACAGCCCTGCACACAGCTACATATGGGAGGTGGCGATGTCTGGCCAATGACATATAAATAGAAGTTGAGTACCTACTGGGAGGTTTTCTGACAATGAAAGGGACTTGCTTTTCTTCCTTTTCCTCTTTCTTGTGGCTGTAAAGTGCATGTGCAGGTTGGAATTACAGCAGTCCTCTTAGACTATGAACTTGGGGACAGAGGCCCTTCAACGAGAGTCATGAGAGGAGAAGCCTGGATCTCTACCCCGGCAGAGCTCTAAGCAGTACCACATTACAACCTGCAGGCTTTTAGATGAATGAAAAGCAAACTTTTTACTTTGTTTGTAACTGTTATTTTGGCTTTTCTAACACTCATGGCCAAATCTACTCCCAATTACTGTATTTCTGAACTCCTTGTGTTGTCCAGTGGAATCCATCTGTTCCACCATTGCAGTATTAGATATTACGGTTTTTCTCTCAAGTCTCTCTTCTTTGCTCTTATTTTCGAGACTGTCTTGTTGTTGTTCAGTGTCATCGAGTTGACCTGAATTCACAGTGACCTTGTATAGGGTTTCTAAGAAGCAGCTAGTGAATTTGAACCACCGACCTTGTGGTTCAAGTTGACCTTGCGGTCCAGTGCATTATCCCACAGTACCACACTAGGACTCCTTAGCCATTTATAAATCTTTATTCTATCATACATTTTAGAATGATTATGTCATTTTCTCCCAAATATGCTATAGTTTTTACTGGAATTTCATTGCATTTATATAGATTGTTGTTAAGTGCTGTTGTGTTGGTTCGAACCCATTGTGACCCTATATAGGGTTTCTGAGGAGCAACTGGTGAGCTTGAACTGCCAACTTTTCAGTTCAAACCGAATTTGCAACCCAGTGCATTAATCCACAGCACCACATCAGGACTCCGTAGTGGGAGATATTTGCCACTGTTACCACTGTTAGTTTTCCTGTCCCAGGACGTGGTCAGACGAGTTGTGTAAAGTGAAAGTCTGGTCTTGTGGCCTGCATGTTTTAAACCTTTCAAGGCTTGATGTTGGCTTCTAGATGAGGTGGGAAGTCTTAACACTCCTGCTCCAAGCATCAGTTGCCCAAACCTCGGACTTTGACTTTTATTATCCTCATTTTTCCACACTTTGCTCAAGCTGCAATGAACTCTCTTTCCAATTACTTTGTCTTTCAGGAATCAGAACTTTGACACATAGACTTTAATCTATTTAGACCGCTCCCCCTACTTGATGCTGTTGTTGTTAAATGCCGTCATGTCAGTTCTGACTCATTGTGACCCTGTATAGGTTTCCCAAGGAGTGGCTGGTGGGTTTGGACCACCAACCTTGTGGCTTGCAGTCCAGTGCTGATCCAACAGCACCGTACGCAGACTCCTACTTGATACACTGGGCAAATCCTATGGACTCGTAGTGACTCAGTTCGTGAGGTCTCTTCCAAGCCTGCCTTGCTTTAACCAGCATGCTGAGGGAAGTGCTCCTTTTATGTACCCCAACAGTGTCCCATGCACCCCTCTGCAAATACTCTGCTCTGTCCATGCCAAGAGGTGACACTGCCCAGTATGTGTCTGTCTCTGATCATACTGTAAGCTCTGGAAGCCTTTCATTTCTTCAGCCCTGGTGGCTGGCATGGTAACAGGCAAAGAAAGAACAGGTACCCAAGGACACCTGTTGACAGACCCTTCTGACTGACTGATCAATCACATACAGGCTTATGCAATTTGAAGTGTGCGTTTCACTTTGGTCAAGTCACAACCTGGTCTGCTCAAGGATTTCTATGAATGCACTCACCACTTTGGATGTTGAGGGCATGGTGTTTGTCCAGGCTCCATCCTCCAAGCTTGGAAGCATCGATTTCATAACCTTGTAGCACTGCAGTCCTTTTTTCCCACAGGATCAGGTCTGGACAAGACTCATACTCGTAACCCACGGAGACTGTAGGGAAGGACAGCAACAGCGCGTAGGTGAGCACATCTTCCTCTTTGACCTTGGGTTTGGCAAACAAGACTCCCCTGTTTGTCTTTTGCAGAACAGTAAAAATGGGGATTGTCTTTCTAGGTGGGAATGAGGCCTATGTTAAGTAATAACACACAGAGGCCAAGTCTTAATGTCCTTTCTTATAGTTTGTATGTTATTAATAATACTACAATGATGTACTAAATGTGTAAAAGGGCCCAGGGCAGTCATCTTTAGCATGGACAGTAGTTGATGAACACAGGATTTACTGCAGCATTCTTTATAATAGTGAAAAATTGTAAGTAATCTAAAAGTTTAAAAAAGATGTTAAGCAAACCCAAGTGTGTCCATATGAAGACTGAATATCCTGGTTATAAGACCATATGGTGACATGAAAAATTCTTATGGAATAATGCTATGTTGAAAATACTGGCTACAAATATATAATATCTCTGTTTTAAAAAATCTGTGTGAAAAAAGAAGATAAATTCAAATTGTAACAGGTGGTTACATTTGATCTAGGAATATGTATGCTTTTCCCCCTATCCTTTGTCCATTTTCCAAATTTTTATAAATTATTTAATATTTAATTCTTTTATAAAGGGAAACAATTCTAAAATAATTTATAATGAACTCACACAAAAGGAGCTCAGTTTGGGGTCCTTTTAAAGCTAGTAGTTAGTCTGAAATCTCAAACTTTAAAAATCTCCTGGCTTCTCTTGGTTTCCTGCATTAAGGCCTCCTTAGAAGGCTAGCCATGGCAGCGGCCTGGGACTGGGTGGGTTTGTGGTTGTTATTAGGTGCCTCTGAGTCACTAATGACTCAGAGCGACCTTATGCACAACAGGATGAAATACTGCCTGGTCCTGCTCTAACCTCTTAATTGTTGCCATGCTTGAGCCCATTGCCGCTGCCAGTAGTAACTGACCTACAGAAAGAGCACCCAAGACAGGAAGGACAGTACTTCAAAGTGTCTTTTGTGCAGGCAGTGTATTTCAGTGAGTAATATTCTACCACATTTTCAAGACAAGACACATTTCTTTTAAGTGCCATAAAAGAGTGCTAACTATCTATGGCAGAATGTGAATGTGGCTAGAAAATGTTCTTGTGATCCTAAGACCTTTTAGCAGCCCGTACGTCTTCTCTGTTTATATGTGATCTCAGGAGAGTGAGTCTCAGACCTTGAGGTCTCACTGTGGAGGCACTTCCCTTTTTAACTCATTGGTGGTGGTGGTGGTGGTGGTGGTGGTGTGCCATGGAGTCGGTTCTGACTCACAGCGACCCTGTATTGGGTTTCCGAGGCTGTAAATCTTTACAGGAGCAGAAAGCTTCATGTTTCTCCTGAGATGTAGTGGGTAGACCCAAACTGCTGACCTTGCGGTTAGCAGTCCAATTTGTAACTCACTACACTGCCAGAGCTCCATTTTTGAAAAATTCATTAGTGGTCATAAATGTGCACATTTCATCTGAAGAGGTTGAAGACGATGGAGTGATTTGCTCTACAGAATGAAATGTGGGCAGTGAGGAGATGGCATCTTTGCTACAAAGAGACCTTGTTGGGTACAGTGAGGATGCAAACACATAGGGAAGATCTGGTGTAAATCCGGTGATGTTTCTTCCTAACTGGGTATCCCTGGGAAGTCACCTCACCTCTCTGGGCCTCAGTCTTCTCATGTATAACGTGGGGATAACAACTCCAGGCTCTCAGTGAAGTTGTGAGGATTAATTTAGATAAGATACTGGGAAGAAAGTGATTTAGAGCAGGTCTTTAGTTGGCATTCTGGTTTTCTTACATTTTCTTTGAATACAACATTATTCCCCCCCCCCCCCCCCCCCCCCGCCACAAGCTTTCTCACTTTGCCTTTGGCTGAATCTAGAAAGGGCATAAAATTGGAATAGGGTTCAAGATGGGAAGGAATTTTCTGGGATGTTGTTCTTCAGTGCTTGGAAGATTACTTCTGTATGGGTGAGTTTAGCTCTGAATTCTTGGCTGGGTCCCAAGCAGGCCCAATCCTGAGGCTGAATGAGCACATCCAGTCCCGGAAGATAAAGGTCTAAGTGAGGCTGGGGCTTCTAGTAAGGCTACCTTTTACCCCATTTTAAAGAAAGAACAGCAATGACAACAACAAAAGCACAAACTCACAGGTTGGAAGTGAGGTAAAAAGGCCAAAAAGCTTTGCTGATGAAAGGAAGAATTGTGATCCCAACACTCAATAAAACTGAAGCAGCCCAGAAGCCTTATGCATGATGACTACAGTAAGCAGAGCACAGGGCAATGCTGATAGGCTTCTCTCTGTAGCACTTGGTCTTTTCTAGTCTAACACATACCACCACATTGCTTTTCAGGGACCACTTGGGTTATGTACCTTTTTCTAAAATTGAGGTAAACATCACACACCACCAAACTAACATATTAAACTGCACAATTCACTACTGGTTACTGTATTCACAATGTTGTACAACCATCTTATCTATCAAGTTCCAAAATATTGGCATCACCCTGAAAGGAAATCCCAAGCCCACTAAGCAGTCAGTATCCATTCCCACCCTCCACCCTCAGTCCCGGGCAACCATTAATCTGCTTTCTCTCTCCGTGGATATGTTTGGGATCTCTCACACAAGTGGAATCATGTAACACATGACATTGTATGTCTGGGCTTCTTTTACTTAGCATGCTTTCAAGTTCACTCATGTTGTAGCCTGGATCAGGACTTCATTTCTTTTTATGGCTGAAAAATATTCCATTGTGTGAATAGGCACATTTTGTTCATCTGCTGATTGGCATAGTGTTGTTTCCACCTTTTATCTATTGTGAGTACTGGGCTGTGAACATTCATGTGAAAGTTTTTGCTTGAAAAACTTACAACATTTTTTTATGTGCCATAAAAGAGTGCTAACTATCTAACATTCAGCTCTCAGAATAAATGGCTTTACATCTTGAATGCTTCTAAAGGCCAACTAAGGCTTACTTACTTTTGATCTGAGAAGAAGATGGAAAGTGGAGGGAACTAAGGAGCCCCTCCCCCACCAATAACCAAGTGTTTTCTCTCAGAGGATGACACTGAGTTTTGAGTCTGGGTCACTTACCGAAGGCTTCTGAGAGCCCAAACACCTTCTGGTTGTAGACGTCTGTCTTGTCCCAAATGAAATAATAGGACAGGTCTGGGGCGGCTGCAAACCACTTTCTGAAGAGGCGACCCTCAACCGCCACCATGAGGTGGACCTTCATGAGGTTGAAGGGGATGGTAGGGTGGGTGAGGCTGATCCTCAGGACAGATTTGTAGCCAGGGGTACGAGTGCTCAGGTAGCTCAGTCTCATCTTGCAGCCAGAGATAGTGATTTCCTCCTGTAAAGCCTAGAAAGCATGGACAGATGACAGCAAATGAGTCATTCCATCCCCAATGGCCACAACACCGTGGTCTCGGTGTGTTCAGGAAGCAAAAGGAGGAAGCAGAGAGAGATGAAAAGCCGAGAGAGGAACCAGTCTTGTTTAAGAAGGTATGCACAGCAGTCTCAGAAAACAATTCTTTCCCCATCACCCCCAATACCACTGATTTCGTGTTAGGAGCCTGGATGGCAAAAAGCTTAACCATTCGGCTGCTAAATGAAAGGCTAGTGGTTCAAACCTAAGCAGCTACTCCATGGGAAAATTACCTGGAAATTTGTTTTTATGAACACTACAGTCAAGAAAGCCCTGAGGCAGTTCTATACTACCACATGGAGTTGCTGAGTTGAAACTGACTTGTTGGTATCCAACAACTACAACAACATTATATGTTAGACAATTTCTATCTGTGAACTTAAAAAGGAAAAGAGGAAGAGGGAGGTGCAGATGTGAAGAAAAAGTAGAGGAAAAGGAAAAATGAGAATGGAGAAAAAGAAAAAAAAGAAGAAAAAGAGTTAGATTTGGCTATCAAGTCAAAGTCTCATTTTCCTCAGCTCTGTACAGCAGAGATGACAACACGTCTCATTCCATTATTAAGAACACATAGGAAATTGTATATAAACGATTTGCCATACTGTAGCCTCTTGGCATTGTAGGAGAAAACACTGGACCACAAGGTCAGATTGAACTACAGGGTTGATGGTTCAAACTCACCAGCCACTCCTCAGAAACCCTATACAGGGGCGCTATGAGTTGAAACCGCCTCAAAGGAACGTAACCTCATGTAGCCTCTGAGCCTCAGCATCCTCACTGAATTGCTGTGAGGTCTGAGTGTTATTAGGTGTTGCTGAGTTGATTTTCCACTTATAGTGACCCCACGTGGCATGAGTAAAACTACCCTTGAGGGTTTCCTAGGCTGTAATTTTCACAGGAGCGGATCATCAAGATGGTCTCCCCTGGAGCAGCTGGGCAGGCTCGAACAACCAATCTATTAGCAGCCACCCTCTTACCCTTTGCACCACCAGGGCTCCTTGTGAGGATGAAATAAGACCACAGATGTGAAGAATCTAGCACATTAATATAGTAAAACAAGGCCCTAAGTGGTGGTGAGGGGGCTAATGGTGGGTGGTGCTGGAAGTACTGGGGACAGGGAAGGTTTTTTAGCTGAGACTAATGTGGACATGCGGGATCAGCACTGGACTGCAAATCACAGGTCAGCAGTTCAAATCCACCAGCTGCTTCTTGGAAACCCTATACAGAGTTGATTATGAGTCTGAACTGACTTGCCGGCAAGTAACACTGTGGGCATTACGCAAGAAGAATTTTCCCTGTCTTAAAACTTTCCTAAAAATTTGTTTCAAGTGGATTTCCTTTTCAGGAAAGTAACAGAGCCTATGAGCTGTTGACAAAACATGTAATTATGCAGAGTTGTGAGCACAGTCTGCCAAGGCCCTGGAGCTAAAGGCCCCAGCTCAACCACAGAAAGATGTGGAGATGACTGTGTGGTGTTTCTGTGCACACTAATACCCTGCCCCAGTAGCATGTGAGATGAACAGCATGGTGGAGAAAGGCAGCTCTTTGCCTCCTGGGTCCAATAGGCTCATTTCCAAGATGGAAATTCTAAATGAAAGCCAGGCTACTCAGGCACATGGCAAAAGCAGAGAAATTTTATCAGCTTGATGCTCTGGGCTCTGATTCAAGAAGAGAATGTTAAATCAATGGAAGGCTAACAAATCCATTCAGTAGACAGTGATGATTTTCCCCTTGTGTTCACAGAGGAACAAGGCCTACCTATTTCAGAGATGTGTGTGAATCCCACTTCCACCTGTATGTCACTCTTCCGAACACAGGACATTTGAGGAATGGGTTTAAAGATAAAGCAATTTTTCTAAGTTACAGTTTGCAAGTTCCAGGCCAAGCAGGGCTCTATGCCCTGGTGAATCACAGGCTGGGTTGACATGCCATCTGGACACTTTCATGTTTACCTTTGTAATGGACCCTTTGAAATTTACATCCCCCAGTGCTTGCAAAGGCTAAGCAATGCGAGAACTGGGAACAGCCAAGATTTTGTTTTTATGTATTTCTTGAATCTGATAATAAGCAAGTCTATGACCCAACTGGACTTGTCGCCACCCACCCTGGTGAGTACTATCAAGGGGATGGGACCTTTAGCCTCATTTGTTCCAAAGTCCCTACTCCTGGACAAATATGTCTAGCTGGAGCTGAGCAACAAATTGCTTCTCTCCGGCAAGTTCTGTCTCCACTGACAAGTATTTCATAAGAAAGGTCAGCCTGGTAGTTGAGACAAGAGAGAAGCTCTGAATCTCTGAAAAGGAGCAAGGTTTCAACATGTGAGTGCAAGGAGAATTTCAAAATGGTTGTATTTTGTTCTTGTGGGCTGTCGTCTGAAGCAACTCAACAGGGTACACATGAGAAATGTGTTTGCTTAGCCAGGCGTGAAATATACACACATAAATGTATAAACGCCCTGCTCCACTGACTCTGGCAATCCATTAACATGCATATCACCAGAGTTCTCATTAGGCAGGGGGATGACGGGGCTTCTGGTTGGGTGTCTGCACTGACAGCTCTCCACTTCCCCAGGCCTTCATTTCTGCTATTAGAAATAGGGCTGGGGATGGGGGAAGAAGCACAACCCAGCAGATCTTTGTTAGGCAAAGTGTCTAGCTTGATTTCTATTGGATTCAAATGTATCTTTTCCAATTACTTCCCTTTAATGACAATTAAGTAAAGCATTGTGAGTATAGATTTGCATCAAAGCAATCCTTAATTGGTATGACGGCAGCATATGTAATCTTACTAATAATAGTTAAAATTTATTGAGCACTTATTATGTGCGCCAGACATTGTACTAAGCACCTCATGCTCATATAAATTTTCTCACTTCATCTTTATTATAATGCTCACTATTTGGGGCACTCTTGGTAGGATCTGTAACAATAATGAAATATGTCCTAAGTGCACATTGTTCTTATTGGTTGCTGTGGGGTAGATTCTGACTCGTGGTCACTCCACATGTGTAGAGTCGAACTGCTGCTGGGGGCTTTCAAAGCAGTGACTTTTCAGAAGATTACCAGGCCTGTCTTCTGAAGAGTGATGGGTGGGTTTAGACCACTAACCTTTCAGTGAGTAGTCACATGCTTAATGTCTGCTTTACCCACAGACTCCTGAAACCTACCATAATAAATACTTCTAACAGAAGTCATGAGAAAGAAGAGACACAAATAGTTGGAGAAAGGAAAGTGGAAGTGAATTGGATGGCAGAGTGCAGAGGGAATTTATTATGTACCAGGCAGTTTTCTGGTGTGTGTGTGTGAGGGACAACCTTCCTATCCTGATACCATGGCTGCTGTGGGGTTTGGCAAGTGGCCTCTGTGGTGGAATGACAGGGTCTGACCAGGATTCTACAGAGATGCTTTTTCTCTTTCACCCATCTCTCAGATCAACAGCCATCCCCCCAATGAAATGAAAACAGACAAATGCAATCAAAACAGCTGAATACCTGGATTTCTGGAACAATGGGACCTTTCTCCACACAGGAGCTGGCAAAGGATGTCAACGGGGATGGGGAAACGACAGGGTTGGGGCGGGCGAAGTTGCTCAGGTCACAGCTGGGAATCTCATTCTCCTCGTGTCTCATGATGATGGTTTCCATGACAAAGAAGCGGTCCCATGGCAGCCACAGCGTGTGCTCCTGTGTGATGAATGGTGCCCGCTCGAAGCGCAGGATGATGGAGATGCCGCCATTGGTGACCAAGTCAAAGCTGTTTGGGAGGAGAGAATGAAGAGGAGAAGACAGAGAAAGGAGAGACATTTACAGCAAAGCATCTGAGGGCTTGTTGAGGGAGACTTAAAAACTTAAGTAAACTGCAGCCACAAACAATGACTGAGATGACAGAAAGCACTTATCGTAAAATGATTCACCTTAGAGAATGTGCTGAAACCAAATTAATAACCGCTGCTATGGTGAGCTATTTATCAGCAGAGAAATCCTCTGATTCCTACTACAGAGCCTCCTCACTAAGTTAGAACTGAAGCACAGCAAACAGGCAGCCAAACAAAATAGAAGGAGTCTGACCCATGTTAGGAAGCTTAGCCAAGTTTTAGCTTTGCCTTGAAATACTGCTTGATCTTGGGTAAGTCACTTAACCTCTGTGATCCTCAATTTTTTCATCTTTAAAATGCAGAGGTTCAAATGAATTCTTAAGTCACTAACAGTCTATAACTCCATAGCAATTTTATGATTAAATTCTGATTATGATACAAAGTCCTTTGGGTTTCTATGATAGGTGGTGCTGCAGGTTAACATGCAGGAAGTCAAAGTTGGTTTGGACTGCAAGATCGGTGATTTAAGCTCACCAGATGCTTCTTGGAAACCCTCTATATAGGATGGCCAAGTCAACAAATGGCTCAAAGGCACTTAACAACAACTAGCAATTTAGAGATGGGCAAAATTATAGTGGCTCAGAAGGGAAAGGGGAACCAGATACTATGAGTCCCACCCCTAGCAGACAGGAGATCTGTGACAACGTTCAAGAGTTAGTCATCCAGTCATTTCTCCTCATCCTCTGATGGGGGGAGGATGGTCTTCTGAACAGCCACCTGCCTTCCTCCCAAGTCCTCTTCTCCATCTCAGACACCACACCAAATCGGTCAGCTCTGGGATGGGGTCTTGAGGTCCTACCTCATCCTAGATGACACACTATGGGGCCTCTCTTGTCAAAGGTGAGTTTCAGGCTTGCAGGGATTGTACAGGCAGAGGCTTCTTGGTCTCACCTTAAAATATCTTTGTGCCCCAACAGGACCCAGGCAGCTCTGCTATTGGTTCTGGTATCCTAACTGCTATTACCTGTAGGCAAGTCTAGCAACACACTTGCCCATCCAATTCTCTGAAGGAACTTAAGTCTGTGTTTATACACCCCAATATTCACACTACCCAGCCCCACAGTGAGTCAGATCTGCAGGTTCCACAGCCAGAAAAGCTCAAGTTATAGAGAAGGAGAAAAGATGTCAACATGTAAACCAAGGTATGCCCACAATCCTGTGAGAGTATTTGACTACTACTGAAGGGTACAACAAGGACTCAGACCAGAATTCTGCATTCTCTCGGCACCTCTCACCCCCGCCAAATGTAGCAGTCATCTGATATAATTCCCGCCTTCAATTTGATGCTTTAGTCCCTTCTACAGAATCACCACCAAGTAGCCATTCAGTTCCTACTTAGAAACCTCCAGTCGCTCGCCAACTAGCAGTAGTTTTTGGAGATCCTGATGTAGGTTCTCACCTTTATCCCTCATAAATCCATCTTGTGGGATTAACTTGCTTCAGTGTGCTCTTCCCTCTTCTAGAAAAGCTGCAAGGATTTTGCACTAACCTTTCCTGTTGAATCAGGCCAAATTCTGATTCTCCAAAATGGCACCCCCCAGATTCGAGTTCCCAAGCACCGAAGTCTGGCTTTTCTCTCCTGTCCTTGGAAGACCCTCTTCACCTGCCTTGTCTGCTCCCACCTCAGTCCAATGAGGAATGCTTTAGTCAAGGGAGAGGCAGGGCCCACCTTTCTTTAATCATTACTTATGATTAAAGCTGTTTGTTTTGAATCAAGAGTTGAGGTTTTGGCTTTCCAGGAGAATCTCTATGGTTTGGGAGAAACATGCAGAGAACAAGTTTTCTGCCACAGAACCGAAGAGCATCAGTGTTCTGACAGATTGTTTTTTGAGTGAACATTTGATAGAACGGCCACACAGAATTTTGGCCTGCTTTATGGGCTCCTTTGTGAGAGGCTGAGTGGGGGAAAGGGACACAAAAATGAAGACAGTCTCAAGGCTGTGAACAAGCTGGGGACAGCTGGTCTTGCCAAGAACTGGGGTTTAACAAGTTAGAGCTCAGCCTGCTCATCCAGAGGGGAAAGCCTTGTGTGGCTACAGATGTGAATCTGATCTCACGGGGGAGGCCTGGTCCTCAGGTGAAGCCCAAAGAGTTAGGCCCAGTCTGAGCACTGCTCCTTACTCCATAGGTGAGTTACTTCACTTCTCTGAGCTTCTGTTTCGTCATCTGAAAAAATGACTCTAATCCCTTGGCAAGGTTATTAATTAGATAGATGGGGGGGGAAAAGCAAAATGCCCCACATGTTCCCTGGGCAGCATGCTCTGTATAATCCCAGTTTTGAATTCAACCAAGTCTGAACTGCTTTTCTTGTCTGCTGGTCTTTTAATTTCTCTTCATGACGTCTCTTTTCCATCTTTGTAACGATCTCTTTGGCTCACTTCTCTGCTACTGTTTTCTGTTTATAAGCTCGTTAAGACTTGAGAACTGGTATTTCAGAGCACGTGCATGTGTGTGTGAGTGTGTGTGTGTGAGAGAGAGAGACAGAGAGCGAGAGAGAGAGAGAGAGACAGGGTGGGAAGGGGTACAGGATATTAGATGAGAAATACAAAGATGAGTTAGATAAAATCTTAACAGATGAGTTAGATAAAATCCTTGATGGAAATGTCACCATACTTTAAAATCTTCTAAGACATTTGTGTGTGTGTGTGTGTGTGTGTGTGTGTGTTTGACTCAGCTAGTTGCATATAATGTTGCAGTTCAGCCTTACAGATTCTCCTGGAGTATGTGAGGTAAGAAAAAAAGTGAGTGAGGAGAGATGGAAAGAGACGTGGGCAAGATACTACCCATCCACATAGAATAGAGGGATCTTCAAACGCTAAGAGAACAAGTATTACTCTTTCTCAAATGTTAAGATGTGTCTAATTGGGAAGAAAATTTAAGCCCCATAATGCATTGGGGGCAAGAATGGTTCTGAAATTCAAGCTCTAACTTGAAGCAATTCTGGCAAAAAAACCACACCAAAATAAAACAAAATCCACTGCCACTGAATTAATTACAACTTACTGTAACCAGGTATAAGGTTTTTGAGGCTGTATATCTTTACAGACGCAGATAGTCTCATCTTTCTCCTGAGGAGTGGCTGGTGGGTTTGAACTGCCAACCTTGAGGTTTAGAGTCCAGGGCTTATCCTACAGTGCCACCAGGGCTCCTTGAAATTCTGGTTACTGTGACATAACTTAGGAAACCGACGTAGGAAACATGGTTGATACACGTACCTCCTAGGATTTCCCATGCTCTTGAGGAGCGGCAGACGCTGCAGAGGTAACACAAATGGGAGAAATCAAAGTCTAGATGTTCCGAACATAAACTTTTCCTGGAGACACCAAGGTTAGGCCAGACTCTGGTATGTCTTATGGATTCACCCTAATCAAGCTAAGCAGGGCATAAGAACTGATGGTTTGCCATCTCATATGAGTGGCTGGTAAGTTTCATGGCCAAAAGAGCTCTTTTGAGCTGACTGTTTTGCAGCAAGAAATAATGTAGTCAGAATACCTGTTGCTTATGATGCTTACATCTGTGTTTCCATAAAGCAGGCAGCCCAGGACTTGAAGGTAGAAAAGAAAGTGCATAATGAAGCTGAGTCCTTTATGCTGCAGTGAAAGTCTGCCCTGAGGGGCCTTGGGGAGGAATGGACTGGCCACCAGCCTCTTCCAAGTGGGCCCTTTCCATTCACATAGAGTAAAACGAGGGGAGAGGGGAGGGGCTCCCCATGCCAAACTTGCCAACCCTGTCAAAGAGGCACACATGTCTAACAGACACATGATCTTCCACTTCATTATCACCTCGGCCGGGCCATGTTCACATCTGATATTAGATTAAAGAGGTGCTAAAATCAATCTGCCTGGAGCATAATTTCCCACACGGAGTGAAAACCAACCTTATGGGCCCACACTTGGCCAGATGGACCGCCATCACCCGATTTTATTAAAAATAGAGGACTTGTCACCACTCACAGGCTAAATATTCCACCATCTTTGTCCCCTTTTCTCCAAAGTGGTGTTGTTGCCTGTACTGCAACATCACGTTCTCATCATTGAATAATTTGTCACTTTAATAAACAGCTAGTATTTATTCGATATGTAAAATGTGCCAGACACTAGAAATAATCAGAGTGGGGCAGGGCACTAAGAGTTATTAAACACCTCCTACATGAAGGTGAAGTCCAGGTGTGGCACTGTAGAATAAGCACTGGATGGTTAGCTGCAAGGTCAGTGGTTTAAACCCAACAGCTGTTCCTTGGAAACCCTACACAGGGTCGCTATGAGTTGCAACCTACTCAATGGCATTTAACAACAGCCACAACATGTGAAATTGCTTCTCTAGCCATCATTATCATCCAGCGTTCACAACCAATTGCAAGAAAAAGACTATAAAGACCATTTAGCAGATGAATCAATTGAAGCTGAGCAAGGTGAGATTTGTTCCAGGATACATGGATAGCAAACAGAGGCACTGGGGTTATTAAGGAAGCTTGATTTCCTACTATGATAGTTCTCTGAGGACTTTAAACATCAAAATCTGTCCAATAGCAGACTGATAGTCACTTTCATAGATCTATGTGTTTGCAGGATGGACGGTGCACAACAGGGATGGCTCAGATGTCTGGAACAGTCTGGTCTACAGAAAGTGGTCCATGTGATTGTACTTCAGGTCACAGTCATGGGGCAGGATAATATGTTAATATGGTACCCTATAGTTACTCTACGCACCAAGTCAGATAAAAGTTCATATGGCTAGTGAACTGCAGAGCTGAACATTTGAATTCAAGTCCTTGGGATCCAAGACCCATCCTTTTAATATGCAGTGACTCCAGCAGCAAGGCCATGAAAGCAGGGAGACCAGGAGAGCAGTCTTCACTCTCTGATCCATAGAAGGTCTCCTACCTGCCATCTTGCCGGCTGATGGTGTACCCAAAGAGAGGGTTATTGACGAAACTGATGTTCACACCAACCAGTGGGGTCCCATCTGATGTCATCACTTGACCACGAATGACACATGCGTGCCTGTGGAAAGAGAAGAGAGAATAACATGAGCTACCTTTCATGCTCAGAGACTGCCTGCCAGGGAACCTCCTGAGATCAGAAGACAGAAGGCAGGTCATGCAGACGTATCTTAAATCCACTCACTCAAGACAAGCGATAACTTTTTTACATATTCCTCAAATTAAGGGATCAACAGTCCCTTAAGAGAACTACTGTTAGGATATGTTTTCATGTATCTCACTCCTGGTTATTTTTGAAGGAGGTAATGCTAATCCCAGAATGCAGTCCAGTGTGGTTACGTGTGTGGATATTGGAGTCTGGGTTCTGTTGCAGCTCTGCCTTTTATGAATGTGTACTTGGAGCATCTGTGTTTTCATCCTGGTGCAGAATAAGCTCTATAAGTGGCAGCCGTTATTATTGATGGCACTTAATAACAGTTTCACTGAAGTGAATCCACAAGGAAATGAACGAGGTACAGGGGACTTCCTCTCATTGGACATTAGAGGCAGGAGAAGGGCAGAGGAGTGGGTTTAGGAATGTGCCACCTCTCCCAATATCCTCCAACTCCATATTCTCCCTGTTGCTTTCTCTTCATATTCTGGAAAACAAACCATTTTTCCCAAACTTGCTTAAAGTCTCGGTGCCTGTGCAATGTTCTTCCATCTGCCTAGAATGCCATTCTTCCAGCCCTCTCCTAACATTCTCATTCTTTAAGACCCAAATGCAAATGAGGCCTCTTCCTTGAAGCTTTTCTTGATGCCTCGGATCAGAACTAATCACTCTGTCCCCCCAACAACCAAACGCCACAACACCCTGTCACATGCTTTTCTTATCCACTAGATTGTGAGTTTTTTGAGACAAAGGTCAATTGTTTTCTTCTCTCCACAGTTTGTAGACTAGACCCAACAAGTCTGTTCATGCTGGATTGAACAAATAAGTAAGGGCATTTAGAGATCATCTACAATGATGTTTTCAAATATTTCATAAATGGAATCCTTTTAGCAGATGGCATTTTATAAGAACTTTGAGATGGATATGTTATCAGGAGTAATCAGTCTTTGCAGAAGGATATCATGCTTGGAAAAGTAGAGGGTCAACAGAAAAGAAGACGCTTAATGGGACAGATGGCCACAGTGGTTACAACAATGGACTCTAACACAGGAACAGTTGTCAGGATGGTGCAAGATCAAGTAATTTTATTTCTATTGTACACAGGGGCACTATGTGTAGGAACTGACTCAATAGCATCTAAAAATAACAACAAGAAGATAGGAAAACCCCCCAAAAAACAAGAAACAAAAACAAGATAAAGTAGAGGTGAGAACTCCTTCTCCCCTTGAGGTGATTCTGAAGGTAACTCTGGAGAATCGTAGTCTCTGGAGAAACCAGTTGGAAAATCACCAAGTTAGTAGAACCTTCTCATTTTTTGAAGAGGAAATGCAGAGAGGTTACCTTATTTACCTGAAGTCATATGTGGCTGAACCAGACCTGCAATGTGGTCTCACAACTCTGGTTGCAATGCTCTTGATGACTCTTAGTTCACCACTGGCAGTGAGTCAACATGAAGAAGCTCAGGGGTATAAAATCCTAAGGGATTGCGAGACTGGGGAGAAAACTCTCATGGACAGGACAAGTCTGAAGTGAAAATGGAGGCTTGGCTGTCTGGATAACTTTCTCTTCACCTTGGTTCAGAAGGTTGTTTTTTTTTCCGGCCCAGGGAAGAGCTACTGATAAGCCCATGGGCTTTCAGAAAACAGATCTCTAACTCAGCTTCTGCTTTAGTAAGTACCCACATCTCTACCTTCCTAGAGTGATAAACTTTTCTCTGTTTGACGAGAAAAGCAATTAACACCAGGCTTGTAAGCAGCTGGTCTCACCAGTGTCAGCTTGTCCTTTCAGAAGGCAAGAGCAGCTACCCACAATGCACTTAGCTCCTTACCCCCACTCCGCCCTGCCTCACCTCACTACACACAATCTGGTTAATGCTAATTCAGTCAGTGGTTTCCTTCCGAGGCCCTTGGTCGAAATGCAATTACATGGCAAACAAGTTAAGCGGGTGAGGCTCAGCAAAGACTCTCAGCACTGCTCTGAAGGTCTCCCAATATATTTATGTGAAATTATCTCTCTGCTAATGGGAAAGATTTATTCCAGCAATTGTATTCAGATAGTACTGAGAGATGCTTTCTTTAATGGAGGAAAATTGGATTTCTTATTGCTGGAACTTTGTCCTTCTAGAGAATTACTAACAGATCTCATCTCCTGGTGCTGGCTACCATCCAGCCTTCTCCTGACATAGGTGCCTTCAGATTCTGCCTGGACAATAACCAGCCCTCTGGGGAGGATTTCCTTTTTGGGGCTGCCCTGGCTGCTGCCCCTCTACACATGTGGGATAGCCTCCTCTGATTTATCTCTCTTTGGGGATTTCCTGATAATTGGAAAACACTAAATCAGTGTGCTTGGCTCTCATATAGTCTCTGCTTCAGCAAGCTAGAGCAGATGTAATTTTAGCCCAGGATGGCTTCGGATTCTGGGGAAGATTAAGTTGACTCCCTGTGCCCCTGCAGGCCATAGAGGCCTCTTGCCAAAACAGGCATTTGGCTCAGGAATCAAGTCCTTGAGATAAACACTTCCATCTTCCTTCTGTTCCACCATAATTTTCAGTTGCCAAGAAAGCCCACTTTAACATACACATAACCTTCCCTGGGACAAAGGAGAGGGGGGACGTGTGCTCTGGGGTGGCCTGGGAAGTGTGTCTCCTGCCATGTGCTCTTATCCAGGAAGGTCTGAAAATATGTTCATGCTGGGGTACCCAATGCTTGCTTTCTTCATCCACTGCTTCAATGGATATCACCAGTGGTGTGCTGGTAAATGCTTAACAACCAGCTTAAAAACAATAAAGGATATTATTGTTAAGTGCCGTTCAGTTCATTCTGACCCACAGTGACCCTGTATAGAGTTTCTGAGGCTATAAATCATTATGGGAGCAGAAAGACTTATCTTTCTCACATGGAATGGCTGTTAGTTTTGAACTGGTGACCTTGAGGTTCACAGCCCAATTCGTAACCACTACACTATCAGAGCTCCTCTAAAGAAAGGATTGTTGTTGTTGTGAAGTGCTGTTGAGTCATTCTGACCCATAGCGACCCAGTATAGGGTTTCCAAGGAGCAGCTGGTAAGCTTGAACTGCTGACCTTACCTTAATTTGTAGTGGTTTCTTATTTGTGTAGTGAGCTGGCCCAGGACTGGACAGTGTTTTGTTCTGCTGTGCTTAGGGTCAAAACTGACTTGATGGCACCTAACAACAACAACCTAACAACAACACACCGTTTTATAGTAATTCCATCATAGAAATAAAATAAACCCTAAACCTAATGTCCTTGAGTTGAATTCCAACTCACACAGTCCTATACGACAGATTAAAACTGCTCCAAGACTATCTAAACCTTTAGGGAGCAGATTGCCGCAGTGCTAAATAATCTTAAGAACAAATATAACAGTAAAATAACTAGTATGTGATGAGTTTTCACTAATTGTTATCTTTTTAAAAATATAGATTTATATAATTCAGTTTTTAATAATGACTATGTTTGACAACTGGTCAGCAAGATTATTGAGCATTTAATAGTCAGTTCTTATGAGCTCGTATGAGCTGACGTCTGCATGTCACTGGACCAGTGACCCCACACAAAAGATCTGGTACATGATCAGTGAAGGGGATGTGGTAAATAAATGGTTGCTACTTTATGAAATTGCATAATAGAAAACCATCTTGGAGAGAACTCACTAAAATGGAGAAGGAGATCACTGTTACCCACTTGGCTTCCCAGCTTATCACCAATGCTACATTTGATGTGTTTCTTCTCCTTGGCATCAGGCAGTGTTGTTTTCAGCTCACCCAGAGTCCCATCTAAGCTGTTATCACCTCAGTGAGGATGTCACCAACTCTTCCTGGCACAATTAGTCACCTTCTCCTTGGTGGTCCTTCATATCTTATAAGGATCATTTCCTCATCACAACTGAGACCATCACGTACTATCATCCACATTTACACAGCTAGCTGACATGCTTATGTGTGAGTCAGAGGAGGGTGGGGACCACGTTTCAGGGTAGTGCTGTAGGATCAGCACTGGATGGAAAACCACAAGAGGTCAGCAATTCAAACCCATCAGCTCTTCCTTGGTAACCCTACATAGGGTCACTATGGATTGGAATTCATGAGACAGCACTTAACAACAACAACAACAACAGGGAGTCCTGGTGTGGTACTGTGGGATAAAGCACTGGACCACAGTTGGGTAGTTCAAACTCACCAGTTGCTCCTTGGAAACCCTATATAGGGTCAGAACCAACTCAACAGCATTTAACAGCAACAAGGGAGCTGGTGCTGCAGGATAAACAAGGGTGTGGTGCTGTAGGATAAACACTGAACTGCAAACCACAAGGTTGGCGGTTCGAACCCACCAGCCGCCCCTCGGAAACCCTATTCAGGGTCACTAAGAGACCTGACTTGACAGCCTTAACAACAACAACAACAAGAAGGGTAAGCATGACAGAAACCCTGGTACCACAATGGTTAGGTGCTCAGCTGAGAACTGAAAGGTCCGTGGTTGGAACCCACTAGTGTTTCCTCAGGTGAAAGACATGGCCATGGGTCCTGTAAAGATTTGTTGTTGTTGTTAAGTGCTGACAAGTCAGTTCCGACTCATAGCAATCCTGTATAGGGTTTCCAAGGCTTTTTAAACTTTGCTGGAGCAGAAAGCCTTGTCTTTCTCCTGAGGAATGGATGGTGGACTCGAACCACTGACACTGTGCTTATCCTATGGAAAAGCATTGGCTTATCCTATTGAACCACCACACACCCCTGTGAAGATGACAGCCTTGGAAACCCTTATGGGGTAGTTCAACTTTGTCCTACAGGGTCTATTTGGTGGCACACAACAAAAGGGGCCAAAAAACCAAATGCAATGCCATAGAGCTGATTAAGGGTCATGGTAACCCTATACAGTGTTTCTAACACTGCA